AAGAAGAAAGTCACCTTGAAGTGAAACTTGCTTTTTAGTGCCATCTTTATAATTTTTTTTTTCTTGGTAGCTCTTGACAATTGCCTTTTTTGATTTTATTGGAAACTGGTTCATTTCTCTAATGTGGTGACTGACACCCTTTGCCAAAGTTGTGTTTAATTAATTACACCATATCAAATTTGATTAAATTGTTCATTTATTTTCAGCTGGATGCCAGATCAAGATTCAGAGGAAGAAAAGGATATTGATACCATTACATTGAAAGCAAGATGAAAACACCAAAGGATTTTTCCACAGAAAAGCCACAATAGGAAATAATTTTTGCTACATCTGTTTGGTTGAACCAGTTTTCCCTCCATGGAACGCTGGAGAAATTGGATGAATTTTGGTTTTGAATATGTATAAAGCAAATGCTTCTCTGAATCTAAGTTATTTTTAGAAGATAAGTTTAATTGAACACTTATAGGCCTGGAATATAATGTGTTTTGAGATTTTTCCTAAAGTACAGGAAATGGAAAAACTGTTATTTTCAAACCTGACTCTTTAATCATATTATACCATTTATACATCTGGAAGGGACCAATGTGACACTGGAGGCTGTCCACAAGATGTTTATTGAGAAAGTTTATTTAATCTATTCTATTTAGTTCTAGAATAAATTGGTTCCTTGGAGAAGAAATGCTTTATTTGCATTGATTCACTGAGGCTGAAGTAAAACCTCAGAACTTTGAAATCTGCCATAGGGCCTAGCTGGATCCCAAGCCCCACACCGTATTGCCAAGGACTCTTCTATCTCTGACTGATTTTCCCTTTCCTGGTTTCATTTTTAGGGTGACCCTCTCCACATACAGGACCAGTATCAGTTATAAGCTCACATCCTTAAGATCTGTTATTCAAAAAGGAGAAAGTGAATTTCCCTTTCCAAGGTCCACAAATCAAATCCTACTGAAGAACTTTGGTCTTCACTGGGTCACCCGCACTGTGACTGACCACTCCCAGCAGAATCCCAGTGGTGGAATGGCAGGCCTCTTCCTTGAAGGAAAGGGGGATTTTGAGTACACGGAAACAACCAGCGTGTACTGTAGACAGCAGATACAGAAAACATGAAGTGCAAGTTTCAGATTATGGTAATTTTATCAGGATCACTTAATACAGAAGAGAGACAAAACCTTTAAATAAAACTTTAGGTTCACCTAAAGTTGTGAGAATTCCCTAAAATGCCACTGAAGTCTGCTGTGTATGCTGCTTTTCACTGGGGAAGGGAAGGTGGTGGATTTCTTCAGCGACTCCTTATACCTGTTTAAGTGCTACAACTTTCTTGGTTATTGCAGTGCTGGGCTGGGCCTCAAGGCCTTGCACTGAGCTACTCACCCCCCACAGTGCTACAACTTCTATTAAATGTAATTCTGATAAACTCTTTAAGGAGTATTTTATAAAACCTTTGTTGAATAACAGCTTTAATGGAGAAGTTCAGATACTACAAAATTCACCCTTACACCATTTCCACTTGGTAGTTTTTAGTGTATGCATAGTGTGTGCAGCCATTACCACTATCTCTTCCAAAACTTTCCACCACTCCAGAGAAACACATACATACCAGTTAGATCTCCCTTACTCCCCTTCCCTCAGCAACTACTGATACACTGCTGGTCTCCACAAGCTGCTCTATCCAGAACCTGTTATATAAATGGAATTATATAATATGTGGCCTTCCGTGCCTTTTTATTCCACTTACCGTAATATTTCCAAGGTTCATCTGTGTGCAGCATCTATCTCCTTCACATCCAGTGGTGCAGGTGGTGCCACATTTTATTTATCCATTCATCAGCTGATGAACTAGGTTGTTTCCATTTTGTGTCACTGTGACTAATGCTGTGAGCATCTCTGAACAAGTTTTGCGTGGACATGTTTCATTTCTCTTTGAGTATATAACTCAGAGTGGAATTACAATATTGTATGAGAACTCCAACTTTAGCATTTTGACAAACTGTCACAATTCTCCCCAGTGGCTGCACTACCCTTTTACATATTCAACAATCTCCACATCATCTCCAACAGTTGTTGCTATTTATTTTGATTACAGCCATTCTACTGAGTATGAAGTAGTATCCAACTGGGATTTTGATTTGCATTTCCCAAATGGCTAATGATTTGGGCATGTTTTTCTGTGTTTATTGGCCATCTGTATGTTATCTTCAGAGAAATGTCTACTCAGGTCCTTAGTCCAGTTTTCATTTGCCTTGTCTTTTTATTGATGATTTGTAAGAGCTCTTTATACGTGTAAATACGAGTCCTTCAAAGATAATTAGCCAATGTCTTTTCCCAGACTGTAGCTTGTCTTTTCACTTTCTTATTGACACTCTTCAAAGCATGATTTTAACATTGGTGCATCGCAATTTATTTATTATTTTGGTGTATCTAAGAAACTAACTAGTGGTTTCTTAGATACACCAAAATAAAAAATATGGAATCATATTTGTCTTTTTTTTTGGACTGGCTTTCATTATTTAGCAAATGTTCTCTAGGTTCAGCCATGTTGTAGTGTCAGAATTTTCTCCCACTTTAAAGCCAAACAATATTCCAAATAATATTCCAGCTCATGTCAATATCACGTGCTCATGTGCTCGTCCATCAGTGGACACCTGCTCACTCCCACCTTTGAGCTGCTGTGGACATGTGTCCACAGATGTCCCAGGGGCCCTGCTCCAGTGTGGGTACACACCCAGCAATGGAGGTGCTGGGGCATCAGTGATTGTCTTTGATGTTCTGAGGAACTGCCGTGCGTTTTTCCACAGCAGCCATGCCGTTCTCTATTCCTGTCTGAGGCGCACAGGGACTGCAGCTTTTCCACATCTTGTTAACACTGACATTTCTGTTCTTTGAAAGGTGCCATCCTAGGGGACATGAAGTGGCATCTCACCATGTTTTGGTTTGCATTTTTCTAATCAGCAATGATGACAACATCGTTTCATGTGCTTGTTGACCCTTTTCCTGTCTTTGAAGAAATGGCCTTAGGTCCCTTTTCCATTTGTAAATTGAGTCATTTCCTTTTTTGGTGTCATGGTGAAGAAATCATTTCCCAATCTAATGAAGCTCTCCCCCTATGTTTTCTAGAAGTTTGAATGGTTTTATCTCTTGGATTTAGGTCTTTACTAGATTTTGACTTGATTTTTGTATATGATGTAAGGGTCTAACTATTTTTTTTTTTTGCACGTGGATATCTAATCTCTCTCTCAACATCATTTATTGAAAAGATTGTCCTTTTCCCCATTGAATGGTGTGGCACCCTTGTGGAAAGACATTTGCCCATATATGCCAGGGATAATTTCTGAGCTCACTATTCTATTACATTAGTCTATATCTGTATTTTTGTAGTACCGGAGTCTGAACCCAGAGGTGCTCTACCACTGCCACAGCCACATCACTACCCTTATTATTATTATTTTTACTTTGAGACAGGGTCTTACCAAGTTGCCGAAGATGGCCTTGAACTTGTGATCCTCCTGTCTCAGCCTCCTGATTCGCTGGGATTACAGGTGTGCGCCAGTGCACCAAGCTATATGTTTTTAAGCTAGCCAGTTTCACACTGTTGTGATTCTTGCAGTTTCGCAGTAAGTTTTGAAATCATATGAAACCTTCAGCTTTGTCCCTTTTCAAGATTGCCCAGTTGGGGGCTTTTGGAGGTCCCCTATGGATTTTTCCATTTCTGAAAAAAAAAAATGCTGATGCGATTTCGACAGGAATTGTACTGCATCTATGCACAGCAAAGCTGGGCCCTGTGGGAGCTTCTTGCAAGACCAACCCCATAGCAGCCTAAAAGAGAGACATTTTAGGAAACAAGAAAGAAAATATGACACAAAAACAGGAGTTCATGTTACTCCAGATGGAGCCTTCTGTGAGGGCATGGCTGGAGATGGTGCTGGCCGGAAGGGCCACCCCGGGAGCTCAGCAGTACATCCAGACATGGCCAGGCTGGCCAAGAGGAAGGAGTCACTCTGATCTTAGCAAATTCAAATACAGCATATGCCTTGTGCCAAAATAATTCCAGGTGGATTAATCTAAGAATTCAATGGAATAAAAAAATACTGGAAATAAGAGCAGGTGAATATTGAAAACATCATCTTGAGGCAAGAAAGCCAAGGCAGAAAGCACGAGTAGTATCCAAGCATGTATCGACTGGATCATGCAAGTGCCAGCAGACGCAAGTCCAGGCCCACAGTGCACACAGGCCACACTCTACTTCAGAGGCAAAGATGTGGCTGCCCATCTGTGTCACCTGTAGTAATGAGTCCAAGACGTGTTTAGAATAAGCATCAAGCAGAAAGACAGGCACACGACTACATAACAGCTTCTGCATACCTCCCCCATAGCAAAGCCAAGACGGCTGACCATCAGGTGTGAAAAATCTGTAACAGGCGACAGACAGTTGGCAAGCGGAATTGCAAAAACATGAACATCAGTGAAAGTATAAAAAGTGTCTGATGTTCCCACTAATCCAAGAAACAGGCATTGAATGATGTCGTTTCCAGCTTGAATGAGAATAAAGGGGAAAGTCAGTGGCTTCTCTTTCTGGGAGTTTAAATTCTCCTTGCGCAGACGCTTCTGTTACTGGGAGCTTACCTGAGAGACCCCTGGGCTGTGTTCCTAGAAGCAGCTGTGGAGCTGCAGGCGGCCATCCTGGTGAGGGAGCAACCAGGAGCCACCAGTATTTCAGCAAGTCACACGGCAATGAGCCATGTCTGCCGGCGGGAAGGTGACCGTAACGTACATAAGAGATGTCAAGAAATCTGCTCCAAGTCACCAGCCAGTGAGGAGCAGAACCTTGGGCTGTCTGCTGCTGACGTCCAGGCTCTTAACCCCATACCCTGCTGCCCCTCTGCTTCAAATTAAATGAAAATGAGACTGAAGAATGAGTCTTGTGTGGTACTCAATGCAGTGGCCGGCAACAAGGGTCCTGTACAACGAGTCTTTTCAACACAGGAGAATGAGGCAAGACCAAGTTCTGTGTTCTTGTCAGTGGTTTATTGTCATTCTAAGGACTAGCACATTTACAGCATACATGGCTTTGAATGAGCTAAGAATATATAAAACAGTAACTGTATGTTTATATATTAATACTGCCCAAAACAAATAAATAAAAGTATTTTAATGCACTAAGCTTGGCAAGTACAACTGTGTGGGGACAAAACTGTATTATACAATGTTTTTACATCTTCAAAGGAAACTAAAGGCAACTGTGCTGCAGGAGCTCTGACAGAAACCCCGTGACATTTCCAACTGTCCCACATCTGGACATTTCTCTTCCAAGTGGATCGGGGAGGTGCAGTGGGTGGAATGCTGCTGCGTTGTGACCTGTAATGGCGCCTGCCCCGCACAGCAACACTGGGCTCCTCCTCCTCCAGCTGCTGGCACCCTGGCTGTGCAGAGATGCCCCTGGGAGCCGGGTACAGTGCCTCCAGAGAGGATCCTGATGCCTGAATCTCCTTAGAGTTATGACGACCCATAACACAAAGCAGAACTTGGGAAAAAAATTCACATAAAGGTGCCACACGCAAAACTGCTGACAGATGAGTCAACATTTGCCATAGTCCCTTTATAAATGCAGATAGTTAATGCTCTTTGGACAAAAAGAAGGGCAGAAAACAATATGGGTAACATTTAATTAAAAGAAAAACAAAGTTTTTCAAAAGGTTGAAATGAGAAAGAATGGAACTAAAAACTTACAAATTAAATGAAATGGTGGAGAGGGTGCCTTTGAATAGGGAGTGATACTTAAAGAGGAGAATCTGATGCTAGCTGAACAGCCACCTGTGTAGGGGGTTGGTGGACAAGAGTTTCTCTGCCACTCTCCCTCTACTGTGAACTAGCATCGAGGGAGGGGCAGTCAGCCACAAGCACCCCTCATTAGTGTCCTCCACACACCAGCTCACTTCTCCCTCCCCGCTGGCACCAGGAGACAGCGAGCTCTGTTAGCACCTGACTTCTGAGTAGGAAAGGCCAAGAGGGTCACCCAGTTCCACCCTACCTTATGCCCACTCCTCTGTGTCCCTGCCAAGGACTGGTCCTGCCTGTGCCTCAGTGACCCAGGCCCAGTGACTCTATTGGACATTTCTTAAGGAGACAAGAATATATCTAGACTTATTTCCAAGGTGTTTACAAATCATTAGAATCAGAATCATTAATATGTGCCATATATATTTCTTTTACAGCCTCTTAAATAACATGTAAACATAATTGTGAGAAACAACAGAATCGATAAAACACATAAACTCCCAAAGAAAAACAACTCTGCTGAGTGCAGAAAGACTCATTGTCACCTTTTATAAGATGACAAGACATAATTTCTATGAAATTCCTAAGTTTCCTGGCCCATAAATCCCTTTCAAAATCTCATTTGAGGAGATACTTTCAACTGTTTCTCAATAGTCATCTTACATAACAGAATGAGAAGAGGAAAGTAACAATTATTGCAAACCTAAAAGTAAAACACTTTGTCAGATATTCAGACATGATTGTATTGTCTCGCAGAAGACCTACAGGATATCCCGCAAAATCTGAGAATATGCAGGTATCCACTACTCTACAGTCCCCAATTCCCCACTGGAGTGTTGTTCCTCAGACATCAGACACACCACGTTTCAGGTCCTCAGTTGGGTAATAAAGGGAGATGTGTGCTGTGGGCCCTAGGAGCAGAGCCTACAACAGGGACGGTGACAGGGACCTCACTGCTAGCTTCATGTCTCAAGCGTCACCTGTTCTGGAGCTTGTGTGGGACGGAGAGAAGAGTGGCCCGAGGTGTGGGCTCCCTGGCAGGGGTGCCCTCATGGAGTTTGACCTCAGGTGGGCTGACTGGTCTTTCGCCTCTGGGTTTCCCAGGTGGTGGTGGCGCAGGTGACTCACTGGAGCCGCCGTCCTCACTGCATGAGAACAACTAGCGTCTTTTCCCCAAAATATGAGTTAACATTTATTTTTCTGCCTGGGGTCTGATTGTTTTACTGTTTTACATTCAGATTTTTAAAAGTAGATTATAATTCAATGCTCACTTCTAAGTTACTCAGTAGAAAAATAAGTTAGGTGAGCAGTGCCTACGTGGGCATCTGAAAAAGTCTTCTGGCATTCCAGACAAACCTAGCTGGAGGCTTACAGGTAGCTGTGGACGGCTACCAGGTGGTGACAGCTGGAGGCTAATTAACTGGGTGCTGGTCACTATCCCCACTACTGAGCCACACATTACCTCCTATGGATTCCAACGGAAAAAAACATGCTCCATAGACTCTTTAGTGAAATATTTTAAAAACACAAAAATAAAAACCAATCCTTCAGGTCTTCTTGAAGAATTCATGTGTAACACTAGAGGGTACCCACATTTATCCTGTAACAGCTATTGAGAGGACACCGTGCTCACGTCTCAACTTTGCCGTAAGTCCCTTCGGGAGGCCTGTAATGCCTGGGGAAAGCCTTCAGCTGCAGGGAATTAAATGCATATTTGCGACTTCCAACATTCTTCATTGTATTTTCTCTCCGACAACCCTCACTGGGGAAAAAAACAAGCACAAGAAATGACAGCAGTAAAAAAGGAAAAAAGAAAAGACTTAAACTAAGATGAAATGAATCATTTTCATAGCATTAAAAAAAAAGTTAATTTAAATGGGTGCTGGACTCGTCTACGACAAATACACACAGAAGATGGCAGGTTTCTGAACAAGGCAACTAAGAAGCACAGAGATGGATACATGCTAAAAGGGGCTGGGAGTTTTGCATTTCTAATGCAGTGCTGTACCCAAATGGAAGCAATTATTTTTAAGTTAATATCTCATCCTGTATCTCAAGCCTAGTTATCTGGGTTCTATCATAATTCATGGTTCAAAGGCTGTGTCACATAGCAAATTAAATGGGACAAGAACTCCTCCTCCTCTTACCAAAGTCTTTAATGAGCTGCACTTCTGCATGTTAACAACAGTCATAATCATATCAAATGCAACGTGCTGATTTTCCCTGCAGAATCAATCTAGTATGTAGCAAAGCCATCTGGCTAAGAAGGCTGTCCTGACACCCACCTCCACCTAGGGGCCAGCTGTTCTAGGGTAAAGGGACCACACGGGCCATGCACTGCACGGCTACTGGGGCTGGGGCAGAGTGACTCCACTGAGGTCACCTGGTGATACCAGCCGCCTGCTCTGGGTAGACTGCCCTCACTGTGGGCACTTCAGGTGCCAGAGGGAGCCACAGTGTCCTTCCCTAGAGAACTCAGTACCAGCATCATCTTCGGGCTGCTCTCGATGGCAGGTTGTCATGGCAACCTGCTAACAAAACAGATGGTGCCCGGAGGATGCATGGGCAAGGCAGGCTCACATTCTCATTGGAAGAACTCAGGGGAATTCTCTGGGAAAGGTCCTGGTGCAGACATAAAATTAATAGGCAGAAGCAATTCTGAATGAAACGGCTTCCCACAGCACAGTGTGACTTGGTACTGTTACCTTGTTCTAACATTGGCAATGAAATCAACTAGTTATCAAGTTTAGTATAAAATTCCCCTTATGAGATGTAAAATTTGCAGTTACAAAGAAACAGTGATTTAAAAAAAATACTTCAAATTGTATGAAGACCATTATGTCATGCATTTAAAAAAATATCAGTGGCAATTGCTCAAGCCTTGTAAGTGAAAAGGACAGTCTCATTATCAAGAACATGTAAAAGAGTTTTTGGTAAGATAGTAATTTTTATTCAAAAGATAAACTTGAGTATTTTTTTTTTTTAAAGAATCCACTTGATTCTTTTAACTAACAAAGTGACTCGGGTGTGCTTCCTTGTCCCAAAGCCTCAAGCCCTCAGCTGGACGTGTGTGATCTAAGCTGAACACTTGGGCCACATGAGCAGGGTCCCCAGAGTAAATAATGATCATGTTTGTATAATATTCAGAAATCACAGAAAAATATAATTCTATTTAAAGCAGAAGCTGTAGGCTCCTACACAGTTAATATCCGTTAACCTTTGGAAGCTCTTACGTTAATGGACTATTTCAGATATGGCTTCTCCATTTACATAGAAACATACAAACATCTCAAAAACTGCCTGTCACTAGTAAATGCCAAACTCCCTTGAGGAACAGGAAGAAAATTTGGGAACTTTTATGTTCTCGTGTATTTACATGTGAAAGGAGCTAACCCCTGGTTTAGCTGGCTGAACAGATTATACATGAAATTATAATCAAGATTATACTGTCATTTCAATTTAGTTATAAATCAAATTTTTTCTCCCAAGTATTTGCATTTATAAAATCTGGCTGCTGTGGCTGATCTGGTTGACAGTAACATACTGTCAATGGTCACCATGTGATCTGCTAGTTCCATAAGCTGGCACTAAAGCTGGGGACCAGGGCTGCGTATGCTGAGATGATCTGGGATGGATTTTAACAAGAGGTATTAATTATTCTGAAGCTACATGATTTTTAAAATCCTACCAGCAAGTTATTAATTTTCAAGGATTTGGATGGAAACCCTACATGACAATTAATTTTAAGGGAACCACTGGCCTCCCTTTCCAGTAGGGATCAGTACCTCAGAACTCATCTGGAGACCTCAGAGCCTCAGCGATTCCACATCAGACATGGGGAGTTGCCTTGTGGGAGGACAGTATGCCCATCTTTTAAGATCTTGGCTTGAACGAGCCCCCAGAATAAACAGTGTCAGTCACACTAGTTGAAAGAACTGGCACCCCCCGGTGGGAACTGCTTCTGAGTGTGGTTCTCTGATTCCAGAGGGATGACTTAATGCCGAGGTCTGGGTGGCTGGCGCCTACGATGCTTCAGTGCCTCGGCACTGGATTGCTTCTGAAGCATCACCCATGGCAGTGCCTCCTCTGTCCTGAACCAAACCCCATCCCTGCTCCATCCGGCCTGATTCTCACTAAAGCAGACAAGATTTTGAAATGTATTTGGCCTGATTTCATGAGCAAAAAGCCTTAGTGACATTTAAAATTCAGCATAAAAGGAGAGCATCCTGAAAGAAAACAAGCTAGCTTCCCCTCCTGCCTAGACTGGTGTCACGGTGCTTCCTAGGATCAGTCTTCCATGACTGGAGGCTCCTGGAAGCGACTGGAGGAGATGGAACACCCCATCCTCTCCTCCTTCCATTCTCTCTCTCTCTTAACCCAACAGCCACGCCTGTGCTGGACAGGAAGGTGTTGCTGGCACCATGGCTGGCGAGGATCAGGCCTTGCTGTCCTGGAGGCCCCCTCAGAGGGGTCCTCTGGCCACCACAGCTCCCCTTTGCTGTGAAGTGGGGTTCCGAGAGGAGCCCCTGCAAGGTGCCATAGAGCACTTGGGCTCTGCGAGAGGGAGGTTGCTGTGTGTAGTCAAGAGGGCCTCCCTCCTCTCCGCCCGGCCACTAGCCCCACCCTGGAGGTAGGCGTGTGCGTGGGCTGCCACCACGGGCATCAGGATGCATGGCCCAGATGGGAACAGGAGGCTGTGGGGTCCATTTTCCCACTTTCAAATGAAGCAAATAAAATGGCCTTAGAGAGCTGAAGTACATACCTTGAGGCAAAAGAGGGCAAGCATCAAACACCTTCCAGAGAAGCACAGACCGGCAGGACACTGCCTAGTGAATAGTGTCAGTGTGCTACAGCACAACACCACCCCTCAGCTGGCAGGCAGTGAACCTCCACTGGAGGATGCAAGGAACCATACTTATTCCAGGAGACAAATGAACTCTCCCATGGTGTGACAGAGGTGACACATGTCCTTGGAATCCTGCCAGTGCTGGGGGGGTCTAGAAAGAAGGGCATCCTTGGGCTGTGATAAAGATGGTCTTACATTGTATCAGTTGGATTCTGGCCTTTGTACTACTTCTGTGTTTCCTAGTGTGCAACTCCGGGCTGATGCCAATTCAGAGAAGCCCCAGAGTAAGGGCTGGAAGTCTTGGAGAGAGGAGAGAGAGAGGCCAGCTTCTGTGGTGAACTGGATTTGTGTGCACCAAGGCATTAAAGTTCTGGGAAAGCCAGATTCTCTAATTCAACCCAGTTTTTCCAGAGTGGCAAAAAACACAGCATATGGGGAAGTGACTACCTCCCGTGTTCCAATGCTGGAGGAGCAAAACCAGAAGCACAATATGATATGAACTGGATAAGAGAGAAGCCACTGTTTCTTACACAGGGCATGTGGAATTTCCCCAGATTTATGTGGTCACCTTTATAAATGTGACATCAATCTCCTGCCACACGTTGAACATACTGTTTTAGGGACACTGCATGTTAAAATCAACCAGAAACCACAGTGACCTCTCTTCTCAGCTCCATCCGCCACAACTGACCAAAAGTTAGACTTTCATTTTTTGGTAATTTTCCTTTGATTAGTTTTTGTTCATTATTAACCATATTTGATTAGTAAGAGAGAAAAGCTTTCTGAATTTCAATTTGGAATTAAAGATATCATTTTACAAATGAAAAATGGTATCTCAAGAAAAATAAATGTATGTGACTTTAATGGCCTTTTGTTATTCTGTGCATGAATTCTTGGAGCCAGTTTTAATGAATTTAAAGAGTCAAGATGAACCTGAGTCTCGTGCAGTACGTAATCTTCATGTGCCTGACTTGGTACAAAGTGTTCTGTGGTCACAGCCTGTTACCCCAATCAAAAATAATAAACACAAGCAAGGAGATGTTAGGATTCTGCAAACTGTTTGCTACTATAATCCAGGGACTACGCTTTGAAATGAAAGCAGAAAGTACATGTCCTATTAAATAGGTTAACTAGATGAGCCAGTTATAAAGCATCTATATATGTCTTTTCATTTTTTTCAAAAGGAAAGGAAAGTTTTGCAGTACACTTAAAGAATAGTATCAAATATACAAATATTTCCAGACAGAACTCCTTTCTCTTGGAAATAGGGCACATTGAGATGTACAGGTAATAAATAGTTTTACAGCAGAGGGTAAGAGATCTGGTACAAGTAATTGCAAGCCAGCTAGATTAACGCAGGAACGTTAGGGTACCATTGAGAACATGTTACAAGCACTGAAGACGTTATGTGATTAAATGAACAAGTCCTCTTGATGAAATAATTTGGCAGGTATTTACAGTTGAGAAGACAAAACGTCAAACTGTAAGGCATGAGATATTTCTTGGCAGACCACGCTCTGACACCTTCCTTCTGTCCATTTAGGTACTCGGTGGCTGGACATATTCGGGCACTTTTGTTTTTCTTGTGACTTATTAATTTTTCATAATGATATTCATTTGCAACGCAATTTGGTTACCAGGTATGCTATGCTCAGAAAGAGCCACACAATCAGTAAATTGGGGCTCAGAGCTAATAAAGGAATGGAACAGAGGAGGCTGGGGTCTAGCCTTAAGTCTCGGATGGGCACCAGGCCGCTCAAGTTCTTCTGGGTGACTACCTCCCGTGTTCCAATGCTGTGAAAAGGAAAAAGTTTGGGAGAAAGGAAAAGAAAAAAGGAAAGGAAGAAAGAAAAAAGAGACACGTGCGATGGATTTTACCCAAAAGTATGGGAAAAAAGAGGAGAACCAAAATATAAAACAAAAGGAAACAATGGAATGGAGCCACAACAGAAAGAAAAAATGATATCAGAGAGGGGATGAAAGGAGGACCAAACAAAACCAGCACAGTTACGGGAAAAGAAAGGAGAGAAAGAGAAGTGAAAATAAGAAAAAATACTGCAGTTTACTGAAAATAAACACATGTAGGTTGAAACAATGGTTTTCCATGTTCACCCTCTCTCGGTTGGCCAAGCACAGCTCCATGCCGCCCACCATGCCCCACATGCTGCAGACGGGCATTTCTGAGACGCAAGCTGAACATGAAGAACCATGGGGGTTGACCTTCTCACAGATGCCTGAGCATCAGCTGGCATGACACAGCAGGCCAAAGCTGTCTCTTGGTTAACTGCACAAACAAAAACCATTTACCCAAGATTCCAAAGGAACGTCCTCCCCAGACCCACCCTGTCGCAGGCGAAGCAGTGGCAGAGCCTGAGCGATGGTGCCTCCAGTTTGCACACATCTGTTTTATGTGCTGACTCCCGAGAAGGAAGTCCAATCCCACGATAGAAATTTTATCTTTCCCCCTTTTGTGCTGAAGAAGAAATGTACCGGGGACTGGAGGTGAAGGACTAGCTCAGGGGTATAGCACTGGCAAGGTGCTGGTGCTGGGTTCAATCCAAAAACATGAAAAAGAAATGCACCGAGATGAGATGGCACCTAGGACACCAGACTCCAGAGCCACAGCCACATCCACGTCCACCAAGTAGCAACAGTACAGAGCCAGAGGCCCCAGGGCAGAGCAGGCAGCTGGGAGCATCCATCTGGAGATGAGGAGGCCCAGGGCCAGGGCCTCTCCTAAGCTGAGTCTTCTGAGCTTCCTAGGGAGGCCCTGCTGGGATGTGCTGTCCTGGCAGGGAATGCTCTCCTGGCCGGCACTGGCTAGTGGTCTCATTTCCTGCCAGTACAGGCTGCTGGGTCACTGTGGCTGCTCAGGAAGGCCTGCTGTGTAAGGGTTCCAGCCCCAGTGGGCACAGAGGAACACCGCTGGTGTGTGCTGTGCATTCCCAAGGCTCCAAGAACTGAGTGTGTGACTCTCCTCCCAGCTCTGTGGTCACTGGTGCCACACTCAAGGCTTGAATGGGCCCCGGTAGAGTTATTATGCCACAAAAAGTGAGAAACACTACAGATCAGGTCTTTTTTGGAAAGAGCTTGTCACTGGACGTTTAAGCACAGTGCTGGCCACCACCCTCAGTCTCCAGGAGTCAGTGGGTGTCAGCTTTGCTCCCCCTGCACCCCACATTCGCATGCCACACTATTCCACCTAGTAAAATGTGAGGGAGGGAGCAAGAGAACCAAAGAGCTCCCTCTACTTAAGGGCACAGAGGTTGTCACTGCCTTCTCAGGGCTCTCAGGTGAGCTGAGGGTGCTGGGGATCACAGAGCCAGATGCCAGCTAGCAACGCAGCACTCAGGCTTGCAGTCAGCTAACAGGTACATGTCTCCTCCACAGTGAACGATCAGCAATCAGAGTCAGGCATGGCAGTGTCACTCAGAACAAATGCCTGGGACACTCGCTGCCTGTGAGAGCCTGACACACTGCAGGGTCAGCGCTCTGTTTTATTTTTAAGACTTCTTAAATAATTATTAAAGTAGGTCATGTTCACTGTAGAGATTTTAGAAAATTCAGAAAAAATGAAAATTTAAAAAGACATCTGTCACTGGAAGCAGAGGAAGGTCAAAGGAGTGGCACCCATCCCCTCTGAAGAGGGTCCATCTCTGTTCAGGATCTCAGGTCCCCTCAGGAGTAGAGAGAGGCACCCTGACTACAGTCTCTGAAGTGCTGGGAACAAGGGCAGTGATCACAGTTCTCAATGAGGGTGGTGGGTGGGCACCAACCCTGGGCAGAAGTATGACTGGTCTGGGAGCCACTTGCCAACAGGTATTAAAACTACTGAGAATCCTCACAAAGATTTATGCTTTTTAACCTAAAAAATCAATTTGGGGGTTGGGGTTGTGGCTCAGTGGTAGAGCGCTTATCTGACGTGTGAGGCACTGGGTTCAATTCTCAGCACCACATATAAATAAATAAAATAAAGGTCTATCATCAACAACGAAATATTTCAAAAAATCAACTTGGAAAATGCAGGTAGGAAAATATATAAGGATATTCACTGCACTGTTGATTTACAATGCTGTCAAATCATAAGCACCTTAAATAGTCAATAAAAAATTAGATTTATCATGATGTGTTAAAAGGGATAAGATCTATATTTATTAACCTGAAAAGAATGCTCACAATAATTAAATGAAAAAAAGTAGTCTATAGTCAGGGGTGGTGGCCAGGCCTGTAACACCTGACTCATGAAGCTGAAACAGGGGGATTGCAAAGCTCAAGACCAGCCTCAGCAACTTAGCAAGACCTTATCTTAAAATAATATATAAAAAATGGGGTGGGGATGAGGCTTTGTGGTTAAGTTCCCCCAGGTTCAATCCCCGGTACCAAAAAAAAAAAAAAAAATGGGTAGACTGTGCATATAACTGCATTTGTTTGTGCATATGAGTGTATTTGGCTTGTGTATTATTTAGGGACTAATTAACCAAGGTGTGCATTAACCAACTCAATGTATCCATCTATCCATCCATCCATACTAAAGAATGTATCTCAGTTGTTAACATGGCTATTGGTTAATAGTAGGTATAGAGGGTTCTGCAGGCTGTGTGTTTGTGTTTTCTAATTTTCCTACTAAGACTATCAATTACTTATGTGATTAAGAGTTATAGAAATTGCTTTGTGTGCTGTAATAGTTGTGATAGCTATCCTGGAATGCGGATGTAGCTCAGTGGTATAGCATACGCTTATTAGTGTGCTTAAAGTTTGTGATAACTATCCTGGTCTGGGGATGTAGTTCAGTGGTTTGGTGTATGCTTATTAGTGTGCTTGAAGTCCTGGATTGAATCCCCAGCACAAAAACCAAAATAAAATAGCTGTCCTGCACGAAAAGCCCCAAGTGGCCTTGGGGTGGGCGGGGTGGCCCTCCCAGGTATAGGGCTTGGCAGGCCCTTAAGTTAAACCGGGTCTCTCTCTGGGGGTCACTTTTTCCCTGGTCTCCTGAGACCCTGATGCTCAGATGTAGTCAGAATGGATTGTTGGTTTTGCTGAAATTGCTCACAAGCTCAAAACTGGAGAGCAACAGGCCTAATTTGGGACTGTAATAACCTACTCAGTAGACTTGACCTGGGCTTGGCCTCCACAGCACAGGGCCCCTGTCTGGCTCTCCCTTGCCTCTCCACTGGCAGAGGACTCCAGCTCCTGTGCCCTCCCCCCGCACCCCACAGCTCCTGGAGTGCGGGATGGCTACCAGGCTGTAACACCAGGTCACCTTGGATGGACGTGGAGCCTGAAGGACCCTGAAGCTCCTGAACACATGTCCTTGATCAAAATTTTTTTTTTTAATTTTTTTTTTAAAGTGCTCCCAAGCAGGGGTTATCTGAATCTCCACTGCTTCTCCATTGAGGGGCAAGGGATGGAGAGATGGACTGACCTTAACAGAGGCTTAGATGAACTTAGACAAAATGATGCTATTTTTACAAAATGCTGTCCTCAAGAGGCAAGAGCTCATGCATCACTTTTGTGCATTATTGTGAGAAGGTCAAATGTCAGAAACATACAGAAAGGATAAGAGAATCGAACACTTTAAAGAATTTGGTGAGAGGACAAATGATACAGAACATTCAGTAGAAGTGACCGCTGGAAACGAGACTTTAACAGCATTGGTGACTACATCGAAGGAGACAGGAAAGCCAGGTTTCTTATCCTTTCTTTTGGTATGTGAGGTAGGGCTGCCCAGCAGTGCTTGAAACAAGGCATCGATCAACAGTGGACAGTCTGAGTTCTGGGTTTCATTCTGCAAATACGCCTGCTGCCTCAGAATCAGGACGTCATTAGGGGGACGTGGCCAGGACACACTGACAACTGTCACCATAAAACACTCACTGGACACTTTGCTCATAAAAGCAAACTGTGCCCACTGCTCAAGAGGAAGCAGAGCAAACCAGTGCAACCTGCAGACGTGTCTCTTCACCCAAGTTTGGAAACACATAATGTACATGTGGAAGGCACTGAAGATGACCCACTCAGAGGCCAGAGCCACGCACAGGGTCCCCTACAGAAACAGAAGAGGCCTGCAGAGAAAGCACAGGCCCCAAGTCCCACCTACAGTCAGGCAGGTGGCCTGGGGATGCCACAGGTGTCCCTCCTCCTTAATTGCCCGCCCTTCTGCATTTCAGTGCAGTCCTGCTCAGGAAGATGGCAGCTCCTCCCCATCACCTTATGAGAACAAGAATGCTGCCTGAATTTGACAGGGCCAATGGTTTGACCAGTGGTCAAACTCTAGTAGGTGTCTAGTAGGTGTCCGCGGGTGCGGGCCCGGCCAGGCGCGGCTCATCTGCAGCTTACACAGGGAAGGGCGGGCAAGCGGCCCGCAGCTGCACTCACCTGCGCATGCACTCTAGGGCCTGCGTGAAGACCTGCGGGGCCATGCCGTGCTCGTGCTGCAGGATCAGGCACTGCTCCAGCGTCACTGACATGGCTGTGCGGTCCTTGGCACTCTTGCAGCTGGTGAACCGGACCCCGTTAAGGCGGCGGCAGATCTGCCAACAGGAAGCAGGCTGTGCTGAGGAGGGGACACTGCAAAGGGGAGCATATCTGCTTCCAAGGGGGCTCCCCACAAGCCTGGCAGGGTAGCTCCATGCCCAGTCCCAGCAACAGGAACCAAGTCACCTGCAAACAGGCGCCACTTGGAGGCCCTGCTGCCCCAAGGCTCTGTCTTCATGGTGCCTTCCTGTTCCTTGAGTGCTCTCTTCCTGTCCTCTCCCATGGGACACTCCTCCCAAGCCCAGCTTTCCTCCCTCTTGCAGTATTACTGCTCTTCTTCGACCCTCCCAGCTGTCCCCTTCCAAGCCATCCTGGGACCTTCCTGGCATGTCTAGCCCTTTACTGCCAGCCCCCAAGCAGAGAAAGCACTGAAGATGACCACACAGGGGAGGCCAGAGCCACTCACAGGGTCTCTTGTTCCTGGCCAGGTTTCCAGGCCTCGGGAAGGCAGGGACAGACCCACTGGTCTCAGCTCTCCTTTACCCACACAGAGGGGAACAGCCCAGAGGAGCCACCTCCAACCACAGGCCCTTCTCCACTCCCACCTCCCTCAGGGTCCTGGGCACAGGGTCAGACACCAACAGATCCCTCCCAGACTGCTCAGTCACTTGGGTGGAGCAGGGTAGCCCCAGACTGGGACAGGTCACTCTGCACCTCTTCTCCCAGTGGGAAGAACACTGAGGGCACTTCCTTTGCACCAGAAGATAAAGTCCTAAGTTCACATCCCCAAGTCCAGTCAGCTTTAAAAGAGGAAAGAGGCTTTTTTTCTTTCTAAGTTTATGGCAGACTCTCTTAGCAGTTTAACCAGACCTGAGCTGATGAGAGTATTTATACTTTTTATATGAATGTTCATACTTCTCAATGAGGAAATATAAATGATTCTATGGGGCTGCCCCAGACTCCCCCAAGAACAATAAGGCACAGTGGGCCCTTGTATACACGGGTTCTGCATCTGGGGAGTCAATCAACTGCGAATCAAAAATACCAAAAGAAAAACTGCCTCTGTACTGAACATGAAGACTTTTTTCCTGGTCATGACCATCTGCACAGTGTTCACACTGTACTCAGTGTCATAAGTCACCTAGAGATGATTCAAAGAGCACAGGAGGATGTGTGCAGGTTCTATGCAAATCCCACACCCTTTATATTATATAGAGACTCAGCAGAGCATCCTTGGATTTTGGTATCTGCAAGGGGCCCTAGAACTGATCCCCCACAGTGCCTGGGATGGCTGTATTTATATGCACATATGTATTAGGTATATTATACATGTGTATACAACTTTGCACCGTATTACTGCCCTAAAATCTGAAAAATCTGTGCATTTCAAAATATCTGGTCACAAGAAGTTTAGATAAGGGCCTGTGACCCTGTACCAGATACTGTACTGTGAGAGCAGGTCTGGCATTTAGTGAAAGATCACCTAAACTATACAATGGTGGGCTCTCAGTTACCTGTTGTACTCCAGAAAAATATCAGAATTATCATTGACTGTCCTGGAAACAGTGCTGCCCCTGCCTCTCCAGCCCTCAAAAACCACTTGACATAAAAACAGTGAAGCCTTAAGAAACATGTTCAGAGAAAGGCAAATAGTCAAGGTCCTGGTTCAGATGAGACAATCAGGAAAAAAAGGCTTCTTTTAAGGTTAAAAAAAAAAAAAAAAAAAAAGACCAAAGTGACCCAAAACTAGCAAGGGTAAAACACAAATTCTGAAGTCATAATTGACAAAGTAAGGATAAACTTGAACTTGGTGAGCTCACTACATCCTATAGATTGTTGACTTCATGACTCAAATATGAGGCATAAGCTGGAACTCTAAATAGACTCCAAAACCATTTAAATGGCACTTGGAGAGGCGGTGCATCCAGAGCTGGCGTGCATGTCCACAATGCACCTGCAGTGCCAGGCTGCTAGCCCAGAGGGCCATCAGCCAGCCCTTGGGCTCTGGCCAAGTCTCCCTTCTATGAACTGAAGGGTCACACCTGACTCAAGGTATTCCAGCTCTTTAGCCAGAGACTCTGCTCATATACAGAAATGAAAAGAAATATGATCCAAAGAAGATAAGCTCTGGGAAACTTGGTACCTCCCGCTGAGCTCCAGGGCTGGGCGGGTTATGCTGCCACAACCTGAATTAAACTCACAACCTCATCAGAAGTGAATTGAGTGACTAAGTAGGAAACTGCTCTGAGACCTAGACCCAAAGCAGTGACTTGGAACTCCACAAGTAAAGTTATGAAAACATATTTGCAGTGTAAGTACTTGGAGAACTGCGATCAGAATGGCAATACAGGCAAGGACTATTTAAAGGGAGCTGAGAGTCCATCACAGTCTCTCTTCAAACCCATTACAAGCCAAAGGAGGTGGTGAGGTTGAGGTGGTATGCACTGTGTAGGCTTCTGAAGGTGCTGCCTGCCAGCAGCCTGGCTCCATGCCCCCAGGACAGACTGGCTCAAGCTTATCAGTGTCCTGGCAGCCCTAATGCAACCAACTCAAAGGCAACGTTCAGCATCTCCCAGAGTCTCAGAGCACGTTCAGTTACTTTCTTTGTATCCTTAGGGAGGAATCTGCTCGCTCCACTCTGGTTCAGATTCCCACCGTCATTATTTTTGCTATGACGCTTGGTAGCAGGTGTGGCTATAACTGCTTTCCTACCACGGCAAGTACCTCAGCAGCTTGCCAGAGGATGTCCACATTCTTATTCTTCCGGGCATGGACGTTCTGACCCAGAAACCGCAGCAGTTCTGGCAGACAGGTCTGACTTCGGGATCGAGGTAGACCTGGAAAGTAAGAGGAGTCTGTGGGAGTAGGAGCCATACCAAGGGTGCTGCTGCCAAGGATGTGGGAAAATGACCAATTCAGAGCCAAAGAAGAAGGGAGGAAGGTGCCGAGCAACTGGACATGGCAAGCCCTTGATTTCTTTCCCTGTGACATTAGTGTCACCTTCAAAGGGCAGTTGCTTTATCTCCTCTGAGCTCTCCCAAGGGGCTAGGGAGCAGAAGCTAAGGAACTGTGGGGTACCATGGCCCCAGTACCTCTTCCAAGGGAGGTGGTTAGGAAGGAGTGAGGATGGTCCAGGTAGTCTCCAGAACCTCTGCCAAGGACGGAAAACCTCTGAGCCAGGGTGTATAGACCACTGCGCAGCCTGGAAACCCTGGGGGAGTCTGGAAAGTGCAGCCTCCCCCAGGGGACCTCCGCACACACCTGGAGGAACACATTTCTGAAAGACCTAGGAGCCGCTCCTTGCTCTAACAGCCTCCCCTCCCACCACGGCAGTCCCTTCCAAGGCCCCCTGAACCCAAAGACCTGTCAGATGGTCTCATCTAAGTAGCCTGAGACTGACAAAAATCAAAGAAACTGCAACCATTCTTGAAGGCCCTCTAGGATCTTCACCATTGGGATTACCAAAGACAAACAGTGAGCTTCAGGTCAGCAGAACCTCAGATCAACAGAGCCTGAGTCCTAAAATCAACCAAGTCCATGGCCTCCAGGATCTAACCCTTCCATACACATACAGCTCCCACCACACCCCAGGGGACCAGGATTCTTTGCTGATTGTTTCCTTTAGGGCATTGGGCAGAACCAGAGAAACAGGAAGAAGCCTCCTGCCTGTGAGAGCTCTGTCTAGGACAGAGGCCTTAGAAGCCCAGAAGATAAGGCTGGCTATAATCACCCGCCACAAGCAGCTGCAGCCTCCGCCTGGCCTCCCAGTGAACAGCTGCCCACCAGCAAACCACAAGGGCTTGGGGGACATTGGGCTGCAGGGGCTCCAGCATCAGCCTTCCCGATCATGATTCTCCCTGAAACAAAAGGGTACCTGGGCAATGCTCCCCAGCTTCCTGCCCTGCTCCTGTGCACCCGCCCCTGGCTTTCTTCTTGAGTCCACTTTAACATCTCTGGGGCCTCAGCAATACCACACTGCCAACGCTCCAAAACACAGAGCTCCCTTTTCTAAGACCAAGCTGTCTGCTCCCACCTGCTGCCCAGCCTCTAGTGGCCTTGGTCTCTCCTCCCCGCTCACTGTCTTGGTTTCCTGGCTGATGTGCTGAACCCCTAGTCCATGGCCTGTCCCCCTGGCTTGACATGGTTCCTGGGAGACTCACCCTCCTTCCTCAGGTCCTCATCTCTAGGTGCACGCCAGACCAACACCCACCTCCCAGGGCTGCTGTGAGGATCAGATTAGATAATCCACATAGAGCAGGGGAAGAGAGCAAGACATGGCGAGGACCTGATGGATCATTTTTTCTAACTGTGAGCACTGCTGAAAACCATGAAGGCACCTCAGCAACTGGGTTGAGCCACTCCCTGCCTTAGTGACCGCCGCAGCTGAGTGCCTGGAGGGTCTCTGCACTGTCCCTGCACTTAACTCCATCTGACCCCGGCTGTGGCGCATTGGGATTACCATGGGGATCTGGGCCACACTGCCTTCTCAAGGTCCTGTGCTCCCTTTCCTGGTATTCCTGCAGTTTGGGGAGACTCAGGCTACTCCACCTGAACTCAGGCATCTCCTCCATTCCACCCACACCTCTCTCTCCTTCCCTACTTCCCAGGGCACCTAACTGGGCTCTCCAAGACCTTGGTCTATGGCTGTCATCTTCTCAAGTCTTCCAGCCATTCTCAAATTCCTTCCTCAGGTGTCAAGCACAGTGCCAACATCCAGGAAGCTGCAGGGGTGTTTCCAACCTCCCCGCCCTTGTCTTTTCAGGCACTGCCAATCTTTGGGACAGAGGGGTCCATTCCAAGGCATCACCATGTCACCATCCACACGATCCCCCAGACCACTCCTCTCCATTCTGACTGTCCTGAGAGGTTACCAGGGACTCCTGTCCACCAGTCCAGAGCCCACCTGCACCCTCCTGCCCTCCCTATCTGGCCGTCCTGTGGAACCCCTTGTTCCCCACTGGTATTGGAGCATGTGGCTTCCTCTACGCCCATTCCCAGACCCATCCTCATCGGGCTTCTCAGTGAGCTCAGCCAAAGGGCTTCACTGGGGTTCCAATCTGTACTTCCCATGGGCCATATGCCCTGGTCACAAACCCAGCCAGGGCCTGAGCGTGGCTCATCCCTGCCCTCCCACCTCTCCTCCCTGTGGGGGCGTCATTCCTGCTGCTGCTGTCTCTGCAATCTTCACCCAGCGCCAGACTCTGTCTCTCCTTATGCACTATGTTCCTCTCTCGCTCTAAAGTGCTGGCTTCAAAGAATCCCTGTGGAACAGATGCTCAGTCTGAAACCTTGCCTAAATACTTCCTCCTCTGTGCTCGCCCATGACGGTACCAGGTAAGACTAAAGAGAGCAAAATGTGATCTCAGCTGATATCTTCCAGTCTCCCAGGCTACCAGCCACCTGTGTCCTCCAATCCAATCAGCACATGGTGAACCAGCTGTCCCCAACCCTGCTTCCCACCTGAGCACCACCCAGCAAATACACATGCCTCCAGCTGGCCCCAAAGTGGTCCCTGACCACAGTCCCTCCTAACAGGGTGGCATCCTTCACTGCCCAGGCACATGGGCATCAGGGCCTGGACCCTTTCTTCATCTGGACATAGGCACTAATATGGACTTTTCAGGGCTGCTGTGGACTCAGTAGAGGACTGTGTGTAGGGCACTCAGCCTATCAGAGACCTGGGAATGTTCACTGATTTATTACCATTTCCCAACTCCAAGAGCCACTCAGCCTTCCAACAGAAAGCAACTGGAGCTGGCATCTTCCCAGCCCATATGTTCTCCCCTCTCTGGGCCCCATTAGAGGAACCTGGCCCACCTCCAGGGAAGGACAGGTCTCCTTTAGTCCAGCGAGGGAGCCCATGGCTGGAGGAGTGCTGCATGAGCAGCAGCACACTTCAGACAGGTGCAGGTTACACGCACTCTTGGGTCCTGACATGCCTCACGCATAGCATGTGCTCAGTGAGTAGCTGGGCTGAATTCAGGAGACTCTCGCATGTACAGGTTGTACTGTGCCCTGGGTTCCTGAGTTCTGAATTGCCAGAGCCTTCTCTGTAGCCCTCTCTTCACTGGGTGCAGAGAGAGCTGTCCTCAGCAGAACTTACCTCCAGGGGACACTACAACAGGGGCCATCTTGCTCTCAAGCACCCAGCAAGGAGTATCTTGCCAGCACCTTACTTTCTAAGTACCATGGAGGAAGGTGTGTGGGCAGCTCAAACAGATCCCCTAGGCTGAGGGGGATGAGTTCTGAGTCCCTCATGTTCTCCCAGCAGGTGCACAGTGTCTACCACCAAATGTAGTCATGAGTGTCAGTGCTTCTGAGAGCATGTGGGAAAGCCCCACGTCATACACACTGGAAGAGAGACACAGCGGCTGCAGTACCAGGAGACTGCATTACCAGTGGGTGGGATCCGAGCTTCCAGCCAGGTGATCAGGCTGCCACGTACGTGACAGGTAAGGAAGGAACAGCTTAGCATGCGCACACTTGTGCTCTGCACATCCCCCCCCCCCGCCTACACACCAGCGAGGTGAGTCTGGTGGTATCAGGAAGGTCAATAAACAGAGAGAACTCAGACATCCAAAGTGGTGAAATGGCAAGAGGCAGGGCCCACACAAATGAAGGAATACTCACAATCCTCAGGCAAAACTTCCTTGAACTGTTCAAAGTAGGAATTTAACCGCACCAAACTCTCCACATTAATAACTTCTTGTAAAGAGGTATCACCAAACCTTGGGAGGTTAAGGGAACACCATTAGTTGGCTCATGTTACTTTTTTCAAAAACATGAAGAATTGCATGAATGTGAACACATTGATTCTTTCTAACATTCCTTGCTCACATCTAAATTCTGAGCCACTCTCCTCCTTCTGAGCATGAAGTCATCTCTATAATGCTGGTGACCAATTTAATACAGTTTGTGGACAGGAACAGTTTTGTACCTAGGAGATTATTAGAACCTGACCTGTGCCAAACCCAAGGACTCAAAGGCCTGCTTTGTGTGATGTGGGCACAGCTGCTCAGTGCATAGTCCTTGTGCCTTCCTGCCCCAGAAGTTAGGAGAGGGGATGGCAGTGAGGTGTCGCTGTGGAATGAGGACAGCCCTGTACTCAGATCTGAAGTCACTCTGGGTCGGCCGTGGGACACTGTTCTCTGGGCTACCCAAGGCCCTTGCTATCTCCTGGTCACACAGGGTCGCCTGAGTCCACTGCATGCTGCAAGCACATTTGTGCCCAATGCTTGGGGAAGAGGGAGGGAATGTCACGTGCGAGAAGGCAGTCATTAAGAACTATGGGCTCTGAAGGCCGAGACCTGGCATCCCCAGCTCACCCTGCCACTTCCCAGCTGTGTCTTCCCTGAGCATCAGCCTCTTTGAGGCAGTAGGACATCTCTCTGAGGGCAGGTCTCACCTTTCGTGGGTCACAGCCCACCTACCTCTCGAGCCTGTGATGGGCTCTGTTTTCTTCTCTTCTCTCTACCTGCTCTCTCTGGAGTCACCCACCCCTGGGCCTGCAGACTCCCTTCTCTGTGAACTCTTTCCACAGCTCGTAAGTAAGCACGGTGGGCCAGTGCACCAGGCACAAATGAAGGAGCCAAGCCAAGACCCTGCACCTCCACCTCTTCCCTGTCCCCCGTCTCTCCTCCTCCACTTGCCCTCTGCTGCATCAGCTGGCCCTGCTTCAGCATTTCCAGAAATGGCTCAACAGCTGCTGGGTGCAGGGAGCATTCCTGGACACCTGCAGCTGGGGTTCCTGTGAGAGGCCCACTCTCCCAGAGGTGGGCTCCTTTGCCTCTGTGCTCTGGCCTCAGAGGGATCTGCTTCCTGCCCTTGCCTCAGCCCAAGCCCAGCTCGCCATCTGCAGGGAACAGGATGGACACACTGCCTCTCTGACACACCAGACTGAAAACCAGCATGTCACTGGTCTGCTCGCCTCACTGTCACGCAGCTGTGTCCTTCCACTATCCCCGTTGTCCTCCAGCCAGGACCTTCTAAAAGCACCTGCATGCCACCTCTGCGGCCCTGATCCATGGTACTGCCCACGCCTGCCTCTATCCAGCAAGCTCATCACACATGTCCCTCACGCATCCTTCCAGCCATGGCCAGCAAAATCACCCACTTGACATGTTAATCTGGTTGTGTCCCCTCGACTACAAGTCCCACAGCATTTCCCACCTGGCAGAGCACACTTGCTAAGTGGGGGTGACCCAGACCTAGGGTCCATGGACGCTGACCACTAGGTACCAAAGGGTCTTCATCCTGAAGACTGAATTCCTTTAATAGCAAGTACTTTAAGATGTCTTTTTAAGTTAAAACACTCATGTCACATGAATGCAAATGGTACACGAGCAAGATGTGCATTTACTAGTGGAAGGCCACCACATGCCACACAGGCTCACTCTTTTCCACTACCCACACGTGCAATGCCAAGGGATTCTGGAGGAGAATTCACAGGCATGACTCCTGGTTGGGCACAAAGACCTTTCCCCTCGCCACTGCCAGTCCCTGCCACAGACTGTGCCAGACCCCATGCTGCTTTCTCCCAGCCTTTGCTCAGCCTTCCTGGCTGGAGACAAGCTGGTCCCTCCTCCACCTCCTCATGTAACACCCACTCATATTCAAAACCCACTTCAGGGGCCAGCACTGTAGCTCAGTGGTAGAGCACTTGCCTAGCACATGTAAGGCCTAGGTTTGATTCCCCAGCGCAATAAAAATGCCCACTTCAATTAAATAAATAATGCCCACGTCAGGCACTGCCCACCTCCCCTTCTGCAGACTCTCTTAGACCACGTTGTATGACCCGACTCAGGACCCATAACTGCCTGCATTTATCTTCATCATCATCTCGACACCTATGTCCTACTAGCCCAAATTGCTGAGAACAGAGACCACGTCTGGGTCATCTTAGGGGAGATGATGGCAGTGCTGGGTCAGGGCTAGTGTGAAAGCATCCTGGCTGACGGAAGGGAGGATGAGCTGGGAGCCTGCAGAGGGGCAAGTCCGCATTCCACATCATCTCATGATCATTCCAGGCACTCAGGCACTCAGGAGTGTGGCACACACCTCTCAGCCAGCGTCTGCTGCTCGTTGATGCCCACATTGAAGAGGACAGGCTGCACCCGCAACAGCATGCCACTCTGGATCTCCCGGGGCAGGGCATCAAACAGCGGACCTGGCAGAGGGATCCGCACATTAAACCCATCGCTGGAAGAGAGTGGAGACAGGAAGAGCAGGGGTGAGACCCAGGCACTGGAGGGCTGAGCAGGGACCCCAAATATCCCCCTTGTGAGTCTGTGGGCAGCCCTCTGGCTCAGTGATGTCCAAACCCCCAGCCAGACCTTTACAGGGGGAAAAATTAACATGGGATACCTTGACCAGTGCTTTTAAGACAGTGAAACAGAATAAAAATAAAACAAAGGGAGCATGCATCCCACAAAATAAACATAACTGAAAAAAAGTGCTCTGGATTGAAGAATTCTGAATAAACATTTCTACCGATTTCCTGTGATGACGGGCAGCATGTCAGTTGATGCATTAGAAGTGGCCTGTGTGACTTTAAAGGTCACATTCCTCAAGTCCATGATCCCAAGGCTCATGTCCTCCAGCATTGCCAGCTCCTCACCTAAACATGGAGTGGGGGGAGGCTGTCAGGCAGAAGGGCCTGCCTCTCTCCCCACACACCGTGCAGAGGAGAGGTGATGAACTCAGGGGTACGGACATGGACAGGGACTCCCTAAGCCCCTTCCCCAATGACTCACTGCTCTGTGAGTCCACAGGGCAGCTGACCCCCCACGCCCATATTGCAGGCACAGCTGGGAAACACACCCTTCTGTGGTCAAGCCCAGGATGGTGGAAGGGGAACAGAAGCACACAGAGCTCAGGAGGCAACGCCAGCTCAGAATGGAGAGGAACCACAGGCTGGCTTTGCTGCGGCCACAGCTTCCAGTGCACTGGGCTGGAGGCCTATTAATTGTTCTACAGTTTCAGAGACTAACAAATACCTTTAAAAAAGGGCCCATTTTCATGGCTCAGAAGACATCAAAGGAGAAGAGAGCCCCCCCAGGGTGATCTGGAAGTCAATCTTAACTCTGAACTCTCCTGCCCTTTGACCCCACTCTCCTCCTGGTGATTTAGAGGCTGCAGAACTGGGCTCTCAGTGCCTTCTGTGTCAGGGGCATCAGTGCATAAAGGGCTAAGTAGAAACAATTCAGAAATAACCAAGTACTCGGAAGAAGGGCCTGGGGAGAGAACACCATCCATCCTCAACCAAAAGGATCTTCACCACCAATAGCCAGGGACAGGGCGAGTGTGCGACTATTCAGACTTCCACCTGGTTCCTGTTACATGTTCTGAAGGTGTCTGGTTCACTGTAATATCTGGGAAGAAAGGCTGGAACCACTGCTGCCCCGGGGCCCGCACTCACCGTAGGTGCTCAGCAGGCTCTCGAACTGCGCCAGCAGCCCGATGGTGTAGAGCTGCCGCAGGAAGCCGTCGTCGTGCAGGCAGTTCCTCAGCTTGATGATGAAGCCGCAGATGAGTGCGGTGAGCTGCGGGGCACACGGGGATCACGTGAGCCCTGAGCCAAGCTTCCGTGTTTCCACCGCAGCACCTCCTGTCCCTCGAGCCGTGGTGGGGATTCCCTGGCTCTGAGACCATAGTGGGCAGAGGCCATGGGTGGGCAGGGCATGTGACACTGGAGGCTTGCTGCACCTTTCACTCCGGAGGTGGGTTGGTTTTGGCCCAGTTTCTGACCTGACTGCCTGGGTTATTCCTGGGCTGGAAACTTCTAGAAGCCCAGAATCAGTTTCCCATGAAAGGCTCTATCTTCTCAAAGATCCACACCAACTCTAGAAACTAAGTCAGCCACAACCAAGAACAAAAGTGAAAGAAGGTGGCCCTCAGCTTCCTCAGCAGAAGGTGTCTATGGATGAAATAGGCCCTCAGCAATGGCGGGGACCTGGAGACCCAGCCCACCCATGCTGCTGTTCTGATCTGTCAAATTAGATTACTGGCATCTTTAACTTGTGACACTAACACTTCACTGAAAGATAACAGAAATCATCAGAAACAGTTCTGCGACAAGCCAGAAGGTGCTGCTGTTTATGAGTGAGAAAACAGACCCTGCCAACAGCGAACAGTTACGTTGCCCTTGTTGCATTCCTTTGGAGGGAAAAAAGAAAAAGATGGCAAGGAGGCCTGTGCTGCCTGCCACCACCTCAGAGCAGAGCCCACTGTCACTGCCAGCCCTTCAGGAGCAACTTGCACTACGGATGGAGCAGGCGTGCTCCGTGCTGAAATCCAGTCTGTTAGACCAGCTTAGAGAACGGCAGGCGGAGAGACATGACCATGTACGCTGGCACAGTGATGGGAGAAGAATGAGGGCCTCCTAGGCCTGTTTCTTCTGAGGTGGGAGTGCCCGTGGCCACCCACAGGACCCTCCCAGGGCTTACGGTTTGGCAGAAGACCACGTCTCGGCGGTACTGCAGGCTCAGGTAGGAAGCGATGGTGGGGGCGCTGTCCTGCATGAGCAGGAAGACCATGGCCTTCTTAGCCTTGTCGCTCATCATGGCCACGCAGTCTGTGAGGGTGGTCAGCAGTGGGTAAAGAGCCTCGCTCCATTCACCTGGGCACGAGCGAAGGAGTTTTGATTAGAAAAAAGATCTTACAAATTAGTGTCTATAAATTAGTCGCCCAGCCCCAACCACTGATCTGTCCTCCCCTACCACCCTCAGCCCCTTCTGACCCTCTTGACCCTCCGAACTCGACCCTCACTCCTCTGTCTTTCCAGTAACCTCAACACCAGTTCTACTTGGGTGCTGCTTTTACACGCCTGGTCTAAAACTGTTGGGGACGCCCACCTCAGCACTCAGGACTGTCCTGCTGAGGAAAACAAGAATGCCTCTGGCCCTGAGGCGGCCAGAAAACAATGCTGTTCGCAGAGGCCAAATTCCACAGCACCTCGGTTCCTCTCCTGGGCCTAGAAAGACACCCAGAGAGGGAATCTGTATTTCACATCTCTTTACCACTGTAGAGACAGTACCCCTGTCTTTCTGGAGCAAAGAACCAGTTCTGTGACAGTCGGCTGTGTGTGTAACTGTGCTGAATTCTCGCCTTCTACACTCTTCCTGCGTCCCCTGCTTTTGTACTCAATTTCTTCCCTGCTCCCCACCTCCCTGCCCGGTGCCAACTTTTTCTAGATTAGTTTTCTTTTAGGAATATAAGGAAACTTTGACCCTGGACTGGAACAACTTTTTAAAAATAGAACCTCAAGGGAGAAATCGGGGCTCGGGGCATCTTTGGCTCTTTCTTCCTTCCTGTTTAGAAGGCGTTTGAAAGAGAAGACATGCCCTCATCAGTTATATTTTTAACAGATCACTGAGTCCAGAAATAGTCATGTGCTTATCCCCACTTGGTGAGCCCAGTGCACAAAACATGGCTCAAGGCCCTGGAAGCACCCACTCTTTCGGGCTGAGGCCCCAGGCTGTCACCATGATGCAGAGGGCCATTCTACCTTTGATAAACAGACTTTAGAAGGCAGAGGGAGTGGGATATGGCTGTACTCTCCCAAACTGTCTGACTAGCACTCTGTTGAGAAACTTAGAAATAACACCTGGAATGTGCACAGGAGCTTGCCTACATTCCATGTTTGGTTATTGTGGATTAAATGCATATTAACTGCTCAAAGGTTGGGAACTAACTGGATGCAGGCATGTTGTATGTTGACAAGGATTTATAACCGTAATGGAAACAAAGCAGACTTAAATTTAGAAATCAGAAGCAGAAAGGTCTTAGCAAATAAGTCACGGTGACAAAGAACATTGGACTGAGAAGTGGAAAATGTGAGTCGCGGGCCAGGCTTGTGCTGAGCAGTGGTGTGGCAGCAAGGCCTCCACCCTGGAGCCGCGGGAGTCTCTTCAGTAACACACCAGCAGTGCTAGAGAATGTCTAAATCTTTCTCCCTCTAGGATTCTCAGACAACAAGTTTTTGTTTCTTTGAAGAACTCTGTTGAACATATGACAACCATACCCAGGACCTAGCAAAAATGACCAATAGAAATCAGGTTTTACTAGCCAAAAAGTTTGAGGAAAGCTAGATAGTCACAAAAATTATTTTTCATTAAGAAATAAATATGCTCAGAGCAAATGTTGCCAATTTTGTTTTTCCCATTATCATACATATATAAGTAATATGCAAATATGATTATTTTAACCTGAAAATATTCAGAAAATACAAGTGGTCTTAATTGACTTCAGATATAAGGGGCTCTTTCAAGTCCACACTCTGCTTTTGCACTTTTTGCTCATTGGGAGGTTCAGCAGGCGTGTTTCTACCCAGATCAAATACAGCTCTCCAAGGACTCCGGCAGGGGACTATGTTGTCCATTTAACATCCACTGTGAGAAGGCACTCATGCCTCTGGAAACAACATGGCTGGCATGACCCAAGAGTCCTCGAGCCAGGCGCTGTCTGTTTGCTGAGTTCCTTTCAGGTCAATCAACTTCAGGAAGCCTGGTGTGGAGAGGAGTCTCTGAGTCTCTGGCAGGTTTACATGCCACCCGCTTTCCTGGTCCTCACTGCTCAGGGTGGCCCCGGGACTTTATCCTTGAGGCTCAGAGGAGTGGGCTCAGTGTAAAGACACCAGACTTCTGCCTGCTGTGAAAGCGGGCTGAGGACAGAAACCCAGAGACAGAAATAAAGGAGGAGGACGAGGCCTGGGCCCAGGAGAAGCAATGGAAAGAAGGATCAGGGTGGACTGTGTCATCTACCAAGGCTCAGTTGCTGTGATGGATGGCATGGGGTCTAACACCTGCTCAAGAATACACTGACTTTTGGGAAAGAGAAACTGTAAAGGGGCTGAAAATAAACTGGGGCTGAAAATAAATGCATTGTGCCCAATCAATTAGTCCACTGAAGAACAACTTCATATGGGGTTCTGGGTTGCTAATAAGAAGTCACTTATTCACGCTGAACTTATTCAGGGTGCTGTGTGAACAGACAGGATCCACCAGTGAGTGACAGGAAAGGCTCATTAAAGCTCATCATCATCAGTGTACCGTACTCTAGGGATAAAGTAAGCATTCTTCCATCTGACATTCACATCCAGTGAAGAATATTCAATTATCAGACTGTAGCTTATTTATGAAGTATAAGAAACAAACAAATAATTTATTTGGGGGCTCATGCACACTCTGAGAAAACCAGAAGCCATATCCAGGAATCTCAATATGAACTAGATCAGGGGTCGGCACACCTTTCCTGTAAGGGTTGGACAATAAATATTTTAGGCTCTAAAGGACACAGGGTCTCTGTGGCAAGTAACTCAGCTCTGGCATTGCCACACAAAGACAGCAAATGATAGTGCGTGGGCATGAACAGTGGGCATGAGTCTTTTCCAGTAAAGCATTATTTATAAGAGCAGTTTGTAGACAGGATTTAGCTCAGAGTTCTAAACTCCTGGACTAGTCTGCCGACTCCTGGACTAAAGCCATAGCACTGCATTTTACATGCAAATACAGCAAAGATTCCATTTCTAGCTCTAATCCCAACAGAGGCCCATAGCTAGGTCTTATAAGATTGGTTTAAAGCTATATCCAGGATGCAGAGTGGTTACGAATGTTGCAACTTTCAGACGAATACATATTAACTGCAGTCTTCAGAGTCAAGCTCACAAGTCAGGTGAGCACACAGGAAGTATGAGTAATAGGTGTGTAACAAGCCAGGTCACCCACTTCAGAAGCCCATCAACACTCATAGCATTAATCATCTACAAAGGTTTTAAGATGTAAAAGTTAAAAAAAAAAAATGCATGTAGTAGCCTTCCTGAGACCATAATTCCCTTAGCCCAACCAGTCCCTCACCAATCTTCACAACCAAGAACTACTGAAACATTTTCCCAACTATAGGAGCATAAAGTAGTCTTTGATCACTTAGCCACAAATGCTACCTGAATGTTAAAAAGACATCGGCAGGAGCCTCGAGTGGAAAGCACGTACCTGGGCTGGACTCTTCAGGAGGGGGACTGCAATCTGCACAGAAATGGAGGGCGACAGGGATGATTAAGGAACGGCACACAGTTCAAACACAAGCAGCTCAATCTTAGAGCAGCTGCATCAGCAGCTTGCAGTAAGGCAGCTAAGGCATAGGAGAAGAGATCTGGGGCCAGTGCCTCTTCTCTGGAGCCTCGGGCAGGTCACCGCTGCTCCGAGCCCTCTCCAGTGGTGAGCACATGGTTCACCAGCACCAACACTCAGGTGGCTAATACATCAAAACCAAATGCTCTTCAGGATGGGTGGACCAACAAGTATACTGTGAAACACATGCCACAGAACAATGCACCCACATCAATGACACGGTAGTGATGGAGCCCCACGTTAGCTCACAACATCAAATGAGAGAGACTGACCAGCAAATGGAGCTTTCCTGAGTTGGAGCCCACTGCTCTGACTTACTGGGCAAGCCTGTGTTCAAGATCAACTTCTGCAATCCGAAACATTAAGACCCAGGAATGAAGCCAATGTACCAAAAAGAGCCCTAGGCCAGGCTTTCAGATTTCAACTACAGGGAAAAGCTGGGCCATCTGAGCAAGTGGCTGATTAGGAGATTCTCCAGGTTTCCAAAGAATACAAATTTTCATTCCATTTCACCCACTGAATCACACTGGGATGCATTCATTTCAATTCACATTTCCCATAAAGCCCCTAACATTCCTGGTTAACTGGGTGTGCCATCTGAGGGGAAAAAAGTTTGAAAAGGTATCACAGGAGTAAAACTTCATTTAATTTTGTGTCAGAACATGTCAATCAAAGGATGTTCTCAGGATATTAAAATGAGGCAGCTTCAGATTCCCCAAACCAGCCAAAACCAGCTTCTGGGACACTTTACAACCTGCTGCCAAGTATCTTTCCCCTCCAAAAAACTTTGGATATAGCTTCTTAAACTGGCAAAGGGGACAGAAGATATATATGGTAAAAAAGGACAACGAAGGACCCAGGATGGGCAGAAAACTGGAATGAACAGTAACAAAGCCTTTCCAAGGGGCAGAGTTGTTCTCCTACAGTCAATCTGTTGGCATGAACACAACCTGCTCAATGGGCCAAAATGACCACCCCTGTGACTGGAAATGGTGTGAAAAGTCATGACAGCCATGCTCTGGCACTGGGGACACATGGATCTATTCACCAAATACATGGCTCATGGTCTCGTTCTTCCTGGGCCTCCTGACCACACTGGGGTCTGAACAGCTTCCTGGCTACACTGAAGGTTTCTAAGTTCAGGACCACCCATTGGGGACACATAGCTTCCTACACTCTGAGTGCTGATCAGCAGAGTGAGGCTCTCTCAGGTGCATGCTTCACAACAGAGCTGATGGTGATGGCACAATGACAAAGAAGACCTGAACAGTGCACAGATGTTCACTTAAATCACTTTAGAACTGAATTTAAATGCGTTTAAACTATATCGGATGTGCCTAGAAAAAAGTGACATTTATATTATTGATATACAGCATCTTTTTAAAAAATATCGTTTTAGTACACATGGACACAATATCTTTATTTTGTTTATTTTTTTAATGTGGTTCAGAGGGTGGAACCCAGTGTGTCTCACGTGTGTGAGGCAAGTGCTCTGCCACTGAGCCACAACCCCAGCTCTACAGCATCTTATTAAACAAACTAGATCCTGATTTTTTAAAAAATCCAACAAATTACTCTTTTTATATCTGCAGAAAATTTTAAAATTCAAACAAGATTTTGTGTGTGTGTGTGTGTATGTGTGTGTGTGTGTGTTGCTGGGGATTGAACCCAGGATCTCATGCATGCTAAGCAAGCACTCTACCACTGAGCTACATCCCTAGCTGCTACAAGCAAGATAATATGAAAGAGAAGTAATAAACTTTCATAAAATTTTAAAGAGAAACACAATTCACATTTTTAAAAAACCAACAATAAAACAAGACCACAATAGAGACAAATGAACTCCATGACTCAATCACAGGTGTAGGAGGTTGAGGCCACAGTCCCTCATAGATGGAAAAGTGAGTGACACAGATACTGTTTAACCAGAGGCCCAACAGGACAGTGCTCTGGAAACAGATTGCAGGTGGATTAAAGAGGCAAGAGCATTGTATACAGAAGAATCTATCAAAAGATGATTCTGCCTTGAATGGAAGGTGTCCAGTTGAGATTAAAGCTCTCATCCCAGGAAGCATAACCCTGGCATGTTTTGGCCTGATTCACGCAGCCTAATGCTCCCCCCCGGAGAGCAAGCTGGGTCTACAGCCAGTTCCTAGCTGCCTGGCCTCAAATCCTCTCCAGCTCTTACAAGAAAGGGTGGAAGATACCTGGGAGGCAGAAAGCATGTGGTCCTTCGCTTTAATGACCTCCTTGGGGCAGAGGGCCTGGACATGCTCCGTGTGTCTGCTTTGAGGTGTGCTGCTCCATAGTACTGTCCCACATCTACTGAAGGTCCCCCCTTGGAGGGTTGTGCTGAACAGGTAAACCTAACTCAGCCCCTCAGAGGCCCACAAATGGAGAACTGCCATCTGACTGAGCTACAGGTCCCCAGGAAATGGGCCTCTGCTGGTAAGAGTGCCTACCCAAGAACAGCAGCCTTTGGGCCTAGCTCACCCAGCAGTGACCCTGTAATATACACCTTTCCCTCTGCTCTACTGGCTCCTAAAATGCAATAAACATAATATCAGGAAGGCATTCGCACCTCAGCTTCCTTCAACTTCTCAGGCTGGTTGACAAGCCTGAAAAGCCAGGGAGCCCTAAGCTTACCATCTGGCAGTGTGACCCAGAAGGGCATGAGAGTCTGCCTTTGACAGATACGTAGTCTCACAAGTGGGCTTCTGCTGCATGGAAGGGCCAAAGGGGCCTCTACCCTTCTGCCTGCTGCTTCATGCACTGGGATGGCCCCTCTGCCTGACAGCCCTCCCTGCAGTCTGCCTGGGGTGGAAATAGAGTCAAAGACACGGACAACAGAATGATGTGGCATGAGGAGGTGTGGGAAGCGTGGATGCATACGCACGTGTGCTCGGGTGAGGATGGCATGCAGCGGTGGGCATGGAGCAGGGGCATGGCGAGCAGGGGGCGTCACAGTGGGGGTCCTCCGGTCTGATCCAGTAGGCATGGCTGTCCCTGTTACCTTTCTTGCTGGTGCAGCTGCCTGCGCAGGGGAGGACGTCCTCACAGCCTGTGCCATGCAGACGCTCCTTCTGCAGCAGCTTGTCCACCCGCTGGATGATGCACTCCAGGCTCTTGTCCACGTTCAGCCACACTTTCTCCTTAAGAACCAAGAGGGCCGGTTAGGGTCAGCTCTCCCACTCACCCCCGTGCCCAGGCCACCATGTGCATTGGAACATCAACAGCTGAGAAATGGCAAGGTGACTGACTACTCATTCCCCATGCCTTATCTGCCTTCCAGAGACAGCAATGTCCTATGAGCACTGTGTTGGAAGTTTGAGAGATGATGCTGGTAAATCTATGTAGCACTGCTTTCCAGTGTCACCAGAGGGTCACAGGGTCACAAAAGAGTTAATCTCTTCCCTCCTCCCTCTACAGCAGGCTCCTACAACCACCAGGCACAGAGGACTAAGGTCTACTTCTGATGGAAGGGGATGGAGACAGCTGGTCCTGGGGATAGGGAGCTGGGGAGAAGGCAGAGGGCTGGGGCAGTTTGCAGAAGACACACAGAGCACAGGATGCTGGTGCAGAGGACCACAGTGCTGCTTAGTAATAATTCAGTGCTTCACAAAGCAATGCTTCAGATGACGACGATGCTGAACAATGTGTCCCTCCCTCAGGAGACACAGACCCTGCTCTTAGGGCCAACTCTTGAGGAACAGCAATGTGACACAACATGTGGGCAGCAGCTCCAGCACCTGAGTTCCCACGTCTCCAAAAATACAGAAGAGGAATGGATAGGCAGAGATTGAAGAAGCTTGGTTGGTCTCAGGCAGCCAGCACCAGAGGCTGCAGTGGGCAGGGAGGGCAGGAAGACCAGAGAAGACAGGGGCTCAGGGAGAAAACCTATCTCTGCACCAACCTGGGCGGAGACTGGTCCAGCACCCAAAAGAGTCCTGCTGCCCATATGCACACAATGGTTTGAAAATAGTCTCTCTCTCTACGTCAGGTGGCCCAAGAGCCATGTAAAAGACACCCTAGAGTTGACCCTCTAGGCACAGTAGAGGGGAAGAGACTGGCAACAGGTTCCATAGGTTGCAATCCAAGTTCAGAGGCAGGAAAACAGGCTGTAAACAGCAGACTTACCCATTCCTCCTCGTGCCAGTCCACCTGCAGGGAAGATCTGCTGTTCCTCCCTGTCCACCTGGCCATGAGAGTGTCCTGGTCATTCCGAAGCATCACCTGCTCCTCCTCCGTTGAGGTGGGGGAAGCCTTGGAGGCGATGTAGTCAGGCCGTGCAGCGTTCAGGCCGTGGATCGCATTGGCCAGCAGCTTGCAGTCGCAGACTGTGACCAGCTGTCGGGTCTGCAGGTACACAAGAGCAGAGCTGTGAGGCCTGCCTTCTCATGGAGGAGAGGATGGGCTAAGGCCTAGCCTCTGCTCTCTCCACAGTGCCAAGCAACTAGAGAGCTGCCTCCCCCAGTACGTCTGAGTGCAAAGGTCACAAACGACTCAGCAGAGCCAAATCTCAGCAAGAACTTCCCATCAAGGACAGAGAACACAAGGAAGATGAGAGGAGACTGACATGTCTTCTCAGACATGCTTTGACCTGTCTCTGAACCTGCCTGTGAGGAGAAGGGCCTTCCAAGAGCCCAGTATCCCAGCTGACTTCCTGGGTTGCCCCTCTAGGGAGCAAGTCCTCAGAGCTCAGGCATTACTTTGGTTCAACCACTTGAGACTTTTTGCTTTGCCTCTCAACATATAAACTCAAGGTCCTGGGCTCAGGCAGCTGGACTATGGCACAGAATTTCTGGTTTTGGAAAATTCTGTACGCAACGGGGATTCTGTGGTTCATAGAAATTTTAGAGCCAGGACCACACTTTTCTTTTCCAATGGATCTAATCATCTTTTTTGCTGTGTGGACACATGTGAAGAATATAACACATCATCATCAGACAGCAGCTTGCTTGCAGCAAAGCAAGTGTGGGTGAGAATGTGTAATCAGAATGTACACGTGTGTGCGTGCACACATGTGTTGAGAGGCTGATGAAATCAAAAAGCATCATCCATCAAAGGCTGGGGCTCAGTGGTAGAGTGCTCACTTAGCATGTGCGATGCCCTGGGTTGGATTCTCAGCACTAGGTATAAATAAATAAAATAAAGCTCCATTGACAACTAAAAAAAAATATTTTAAAAAAAGCAACATCCATCAAAAGGGTCTGATATCTCCACTCCTTTGCATGGACCAACATTTACATATTTTGTAATCAGGATCAAGTTATAGTTAATTAGAATGGGCTTACTGGCTACATATAAGCCAAGAGAATCATGTTGTTCTTTTCTTATGTCTGTATATTAGTTTGGTTTCTTTTTAGAAATTTAAGTACAATAGAAATATGTCTAAAAAAATGCTGATAAGGCAGTCACTAAGAAAGCTGTGGACAGCATCAGCCCCAATAAAATGAGCCCATGGACTTGCTGGGAGACACAGCAGCACAAAGCAGCACCTGAGAGTTGCAGGCCCTGGGCTGGCTCTGCCTTTGGCCAGTCCAGCTCTGCGGCCATGAGCAAATCACCAAACCTCCCTAGTCTAAAGACAGGTCATCCAAAAGTCACTGTCTTTGTGGCACATCTGGGCCATCCTGGGGAGTTCACTGGCTTCCAGAAACCCAAAGACACCCCCCTCCGTAAACACACACATACAACAAGGCAGCCCCTCCTACCTTGTCTGCCAAGATGGCAAGTGTCCTCTCAAGGCCAGTGGCAGACCTGTCCTTGGCCGCCCTTGAGAGCCGCTCTGCATAGTAACTAACTTGGGTTTTCAGGGTGTTGATCTGGGCAATGATCTCCTTGGCTCTGACGACATCCTGTGGTATGTAGATTATGGACTGGCAGCTAGATGATGTACTAGAAAGGACAAGAACAGATCCTAAGGGGTTCTCTTGAGTCTGAGGAGCATGGCAACAGCATCCTAACCCTGGCCCACAGCTCACCCTAAAATAAGGAAGTCTTGTTACTCAGGGGTATCTTCCTGTGCTAGATTAGCTGCTGATAGGCAAAAGGAGATTTTGGCAGGTCCTTTACATCTATGTGTTCAAAGCCTAACATATTAAAATAGGATGGTCTTTTACCTGCATTTGTACCTGTCTGTGTTTCTGCCATGTTATATGTATATGTGTGTACAAACATTGAAATGTCATACCCAGTGATCACCCAAATGATCAGAATCTTTACCTAAGAACTTCGTCCATCAACTTATAAGCAGTTCTTAAGTAGAGACCTGGCGTCCCCTTATGCCAGAATGGGTCAAATTATCACACTGAAGGGAAAGACCACAATTGGCGGTGGACTTTGCCAAAGAAAATAAAACAATAACAACAACAAAAGCCCCAAACCTGCTTTTTCATTTGGCCAATCAGGATGTCTAACTTTTTTTGAGCAGAACCACAGTTCTCCTCCCTCACATCTGACCCTGGTGAATCCCGAGAAAATTGGGCTTCCTTTCCCTCTTCCCTGCTCCAGGATGTCCTTACTTTGAAAAATAACAATCCATCAGAGAAAGAGAAAGTGGAGAATGTGCCAAGCCAGAGGCCAGGCCCAGCACCTCAGTGGCTTTGAAAACCTGGTTCTTCTTCCTTCCCACCTCCTCACCCACTACGCAGCATGTCAGTCTGGGGATCTGACGTCAAAGGGACAGCCCTGTTGCTGCTCAGCAGAACCAGGAGCCTCTGAGGGACCAACTCCACACTCCCTGGAGCCCGGGGCTGGGTCAGTATGTTTGGAACACCTAGGTGGCAAGGATGATTCCATGTCTCTTAGCTCAGATCCCAACCAATCCAATGTGATAAGTTTTTCAGACCACCTGGGAAGGCCAAGGAAAGTGAGGAGTAATACAAGTAGACAATATGGAAGTCTCCTAAAATCTGAAGTTGTGAACTCTGGGTGCAATGGTATCCCTTCCCTCCTGGAAAGAGGGACCTGACTGACTGACCCTTCAAGTTCTGAGGGACCAGTTCTCCCTTTTGAGTTCTGGGAACAAGGGAAATAGGAGAGGACAGAGGGTACCACACCCTCCCTCAGATCCTGGAGATGAGGGATACTGGGGTCTTTTCCAGGGAAAACCAAAAGTGATCATCAAGAAACTGCGACTGCCCCTTCTCTTGTTGGACTATGGGGGTGAACATGCAAGCACTACAAACCAGAGCACCCCAGAAAGAACACCACCACCACAAGCCCACACACCACAACGAAGAACGATGGATGTGCCAGAAGCCCATGCAGCAGACGGTGACCCAGCCTGTGTGGCACAAGCCATTCCACAGCGCCGCGTGCAGAGACCACCTTCCAATCTGCAATCACTCTTCCAAATGAATAGCTGCCATTTAAGACAATTTGGTCTTGAAAATACGTATCTCAAAATAGAACTTTTAAAAAATTGATGCTTCCCAGGCCCTCAATATTCAGAGTCCACATGTAGTAAGAACTTTACATAGATATACCTTTGTGTGTGTAAGTGGGTGGCTGGGTGCACACACCATCCCAAGGCTGGGAGGAAAACCTCACTTGTACTCACCTGGGCTCCTAAATAGCAGCCCTGGGACTGATGCACAGGAAATACATGGTAAGTATGAGAAGGGGAACAATTCACAGAGCTGCTGTTCAGGTGCTCAGGAATACATAAACACACGTGCCCCGTTACCTAGTTCTAAAAGCAGGCGGCCAAATGAAAGGAAGCCTGGGGTGCAGATGTTTTGCTGCTTTGTGTGACACATGCCTTAACAGGGAGTCTTAACTCAAAGGAAGTGACCCGTCTGTTCTGTTAACTACCCTGGGGTCCCAGAGTGTCCTGGGGCAGCCCCAGTAGGTAACATCCTAGGTATGGTCCATGGGCCACACATTAGGCCCCCAGCCGTAAGCCACTGACTCAGACCTACCCAGAGAGGGGTTAGGGACTAAAAAAGAAGATGCCAAAGGAACTTAAGGGTGGACTGTTTTGGTAGGGGCCAGAACTGGCTGGTATGGATGAGTGACAGTCCCTCTGAACATGAAGAGCAAGGCTGTCCCTGTGGAGACTGAACTCCTGAACCCTGCTCATAGTAGACAGTGGGAGGCTGGGTAGTCTCTGACTGAATTTAGTCAGAAATGCTCCCTGCCTGTCTCAGGAATGTCCTGTTTATAGGGAAAAGGAAGGTGGAGAGGTGAGAGTAACCAGGACCAAGTTGGGCTATGGAAGGTCTAGTCTCCTCAGTTAAGAGGGAAGGACTAAAGAACTTTCCAGATAACTTCAGTTGGGACTTCCAAAGGGCAATTGAGTTTTTGGCCCACTTTCCCAGCCCTCAGACCTAACCCTGATGTTCCTACCCTCTACCTGTACTGTAGAAAAGGGTGAGTCTTCGATGAGGCTGAGGTCCTGGCAGAGAAGGGAAGAGCAGAAGCTACCCTCCCCAAGAGCCCTCCACCCTCTTTCAGTACCCCTGGGAGAAGGGCCTTCCTCATGGGAAAGCTGGAGAGGCTTCAGTGTGGTGTGGGGTGTCCATAGGACTTCCTACTGTCAGATGCTCCTAGCGGAGCCCTGAAACCTCAGGCAGGGTCCAGATGTGGCCCAGAGCCTCCCAGATCATCTGCTCCAAAGGGGCAGGTGCTCCAGATGGCCCTGTTCCTGTCTGGGATTGAGGCTGTGGAAGAGAACCCTAGGTGTACACTTGGTGGCTTCTGGCTGCCATCTAGTTCTCTAGTGGAAAGAGTTACTCGGTCATAGGTCTGCCCCCTCAAGGGGTAAAACTGACCCAAGTAAGATCCTTTTAAAAGTCTGCACAAATTAATAAGTATCATGGAAATGTAAGCTGGATTCATTTGTACAAGAGGTGGGGATGATATGAAAACTGAAAAGATTCTTGTAAAAGATGGAAAGGGGTTCCCAACCATACCCATGGGTCTGGGATCTTCCTCATCCTGGGAGACAAAAACCAAGCCCTATCTCAGAATGAGGGCAGCACAGGTTTGCTGCCAGGTTGGAAAGGTGAATAGTTCCCTGCAGACTGGCTATTCATCATCAAAGCACATTGCAGTTGGAAGGGAGAGCTCCTCTACAAGGGTGTGAGTTAACTGCAGCCCAGATGGCACTAAGGAGTGAAGCAGTGCCCTGGCCAGGGCAGGGGACAGCACAGGCTTTCTCTGCGTGAAAGCGAGACCCAAACAGACACTCTCTCCACGACAGAAAACTCACCAACACTCCTCAAAACTGCTAAAGAAAAGAACCAAAATGAAATATTAGCGATTTGTTAGAAAATACCAAATGCCAAATAAAAAATTAAAAAGCCAACTTAATTTTTTTGTCAAAATACTTAAAATTATTTGTTGAGGCCCCACCTACAGGGACGATAAACTTGTGAGCCCACCATGCTTATTCCTTGAAGCAACAAGCCCAGGAGACAGCCCTCTGGGAGCACGGTTGGCCTGCATTAAAGGAAAGCTCAAACAACAAAACCCTGCCTACAAGTGACTTTATGACACTGGTAGTAAATTAGATAGAAACTTGTGTTATATATTTGAAAACCCCTGCAGAGCACTTTAGGAAATAAAGTCTGAAGTGAACATGCAGACTAATCAAGTGTCAACACTTTTGACCCTCCTGGGACAGGGAGAGCCAGGTAGCCCCCTCTTGACTAGCCACACAGATAAATGGACACTCTCCTTCAGGGCCCCGCGCCATCTCAGCTCGCACGCACACGCTCCACATGGCACATGCAATAGTGCAACAGACACGCTTTCTTGCTGGCTATGCAGAGCTGCGGTGGGCACAGAAGCGTCGTCTTCTTCCTGCTCTCCAAAGGAACACTGGGGACAGTGAATGCTGGGGCAGGTCTGGTCATCTGGTTTGTTTGCAAAAAGAAGAGCCCTTCGTGGGGATGAGTCAAAGTCAAGGAGGCTGTGTGGGGCTTCCCAGAGAATGCTGGGCCCCTCGTGTTGACCCCAGGCCTTCCTGGCTTCTCCTTCTCCTATCTCCAGGACCACTCTGCTCCTGGTGGGCCTCAGGCACCTGTGTGTCTGTCTACGCAGGGAGTCCTCCCTGTGCACTCTCTTCAGCTTGCTGCTCAGCCAACCAGGCTCATCCACCTCGATGACACTCAACAGATGTCTCCTGACTCCTTTGGTCACTGGCCTAAACTGCCCCACCCCATCTAGAGGATGGTCAATTTTCCCAAGCAGTGTTGTGACTCCTGGCTATGGCAGCAGTTGAGCAACAGCCTAATAGCTCTGGTGTGTGCATAAGCTCTTCTCCCTGTCTTCCCCTGGCCAACTGATGGGACTCTCTGGATGTTCCCTGGGCCTATGCTTCACTTGGCCTCAAACTATCTTAACTGATTACACTCAGACCTTTCAATATCACAAGCACAGGTTTCCCCCAATACTTCATTTAATTCCTCCCATCTCAAAATCCTCTCTGCAACCCCATCCACTCTTCCTGACCCTGCTGAGCTGAACTATATGGTCTGCCTCTTCATCTTCTTCAGAAGCCGCTCTGTCAGCATTCTCTTCTGTTCCACCTCATTCAGGTGTATCTGCCCTATTGGCCTAACCACATGCTCAAGTCATAATTATTCTCCCCACCTGAGAACTTTGTGCTACTTCCTCATTCTGCAGTCTGTCAAAGATCTCACAAGATTATTTCTATTCAGCATCTCCACTTTTTACACTTGTACCCTTCAATCCATTTACTCCTGGAGACATTGTGGATGATCACTGAGAAATGCCCCTCAGTGTCTAACACGACACCTGGGATTAGGGCTCTCCCCAACCCAGGGTGGATTGCTGCCCTCCACCCCCGTGTTTCCTACACCCTCTGTGGGCCTGCTCCAGGTATGATTCACCCAAATGGTGCTTGCTGAATTGTCTGCTCCTGGGAAAGCCCCTGAGCTCGACAGGGTCAGGCCCAAATCTGCTAAGCTCTGGTCACCAGTGTTAGCTCAGTCTACTGAAGGCTGGCAGCAAGGCCAGCTCTCTGCCTCAGCTCCTCTCCCGCTGCTGCATAGGCTGCGTCCACCATGTCCTTGTCTGAAATGCTTTTCCCCATCCTGACTGCCTGGCAGTTTCCTACTCAAGACAGTAGTTTCATGAGACCCCTGGATCTTTTCAATACTGGGAATGTTCACCCAGGCTCTCCTTCAGGAAAGGAAACAATGTGCCTCAGACTTTATACTTCTGTGTTCAAGTACCTGACGTGGGACTCCAAAGGAAGCCAAGTCAGCAAACAGTGCACACAGGCTGCTGCCTGAAGCATCACTCAAAGGTGGATCACAGAATGCTGTTCACTTTGAAGGTCTGGGACCACCAATGTGGGGCCATCACCCACCCAGCTCAGTCTCAGTCTCTCCCTCTCTCTCCCTCCCTCTCTCTCTCTCTCTCTCTCTCACACACACACACACACACACACACACACACACACACACACACACACACACACAGCAGCATAGGGTCCTGCCACGCAAAAGCAGATTCAATGGCTGGATGTTTGTGATTGTATTTAGATTATTATTTTTTTTAAACTGAGAAGCGTCATACAGCTGTACAAGAACCACAAACCCCTTCCTTCTACTTACTGTTTCTTGGTCTCTTCAAATTTGTGCAGCTTTTTGCGGAGACCTCCTGATTTAAAACCTTGGCAGTGTGCTGCTGGTGCTCCAATGGTGACAATGTCGTAGTTCTGATCTGAATGACAGAAAGCTCACTTCTGTTACTCAGGCTCAGGCCTGTGGACAGCCAGCTACAGAGAGAGGCACACCATCTAGGATGCTGTCCCTGCAACCTTGGTTGCCTTGATTCCACAGCTTGGGGCTTGGGGGGCCTGCAGGAGCACTGCTCCTCTGTCTCCGCAAAAGGGCTTCTCTGCTTCGGGTGGGCCACGTGGGGCTGCAGGAAGCTAGCGCAACACTCGTTCTCCCCCTTCCTGGGAAAGGGTGAATGGAGGGCAACTTTCTGCCATGGAAGCACAAAAGGAAGCTGGAGGGAGGAGAGACAGGAGCAAAGGCTCTGGGCTCTTGAACTGGGATCTTCCCAAGGTTCTAGGGAGGTGTTTCTTCTTGGAGTCACCCAGCAGTAGAGCACACAGGGAAACTAGGACAGATGTGGGGTAGCCCAGGGACCAAGTATTCAGGGGGAAAAAAAAAAAAAGAAATGTAATGTGGTTCAAAAAGAGGGGCCAAAAAGTAGGTACCTGATCCGCCATCATCTTGAACTCTCATCCTTTGTATATGCAGGTTTGTGGGAACAAATTCTAACTTTTTATCTGCTTTCAAACTGCTTGCTTTAAATGAGGGACCTAAAAAATGGAATATGAGAAAATGAAGGTCACCAGCAGATCATGAAGAGCACATTGCTGCTGCTGCTGCAGGAAGGCAGGCATATACTGACTGACTTAGAAAACTCTGAGGTGCACACGAGCAAGTTTCATCTCCAGGTGGTAGGTTGGAGGGCAGCTCACCAGCCAGGAGAACCAGCTTCAGAAAGCTACAGGAGTAAGGAGGCCATGCCTTCCACAAATCAGCCTGCAATTCAGAGATCTGAGTCTGTGCCGCACACTGTCAACAACTCCAGGTAAGGCAATGGGTCCGTGCCAGAGACCACCTGTCTCAACCCTAGAGACTGTCCCAGCCCAAGATTTTAGAACAACTGGTTTGGCTAGAGTAACACATCTCAATCCTAAAAAGTGATGGCAAGGTCTGCTCGTCCCCCCAGGTCCACAGGAGAGCAACAGAGCACAACTGCAGCCTCAGGGGCACACAGCTCACCAGCAACCTGTGTGCCAGGCTCGTTAGGAAGCCTGGTTGATGTTTTATAACCACTCTCCACAATCTTATTTCTCTGATCAGAATCTAGAATCCGTAACTAAGAACCTCATGCCTACCAAACGAAGGGATGACAACTGAAATGATAATCAGAAGAAAAGAAATAAATAACCCATCTAGTGAAAAATCATGAATTGTACTGTCAGCCTGAGATGGCAGCCCAGCAGCTGTGTAGTTTGCATTCTGTCACAGGAGTTTACTCCCTAGAGTCTGATACTCATGTTGAGCCTCTGGGCCAGCAGCCTGGGTGTCCTGGGACCTAAGAGAAATGTAGAACCCAGACCTGATTTTTAACAAGATTCTCAAAGTATCTGGAAGCCACTGACATTTGAGCAGCTCTCTACTCTAGAAAACCCGAGGCTATGTGGACTCCACTTTCCTAGGTAACACTCATTGAGCATGGGTAAGTGCCTCGGTTTCCTCAGCAAATGCTGCCACTTCTCAGTGATACACTTAGACTTGCTCTTCAGGCTCAGATCCAGCCTATGCACCACCATCTTGTAAGACCTCAGTTTGGCTTTTTTCCACCCAAAGTTGTGGACAGGTTCACATGTTCTTTGCCAAAACTACATGAAGGGCTTATGATTTTTTCCTTTAACCCTAAAATATTATGTAGAGAGGAAGAAGGAAAGAATATGAAGATAGAATAATTTGAAGCAATAAATCGCAAAAAAACAACAAAAAAATTGTTTCCAGTCAGAATAAAAGGGAAATGAGTTAAGAACTGCTTTCTAAGTATTTTGAAAATCAAATGGCATCTTTAAAGAATAAAGGGTGTAATGTGGGCTGGGGAGGTAGCTCAGGGGAGTGCTTGCCTAGCATGCCTGAGGCCCTGGGTTCAATCCCCAGCACTGCCAGAAAAAAAGAAAAAGAAAAAGGCAAGATGTTTGCACTTAGCTTTCTTCTTTGAGTCTTTTGACAATTGCTATGTTCAGTGAATATTTAAACAAGAAAATCTACAAAACTGCTTTGCCTCAAAGCAAATAGCCTATATCCTTTTGGTCGCTTCAATGATATTAGATGAAGAAACTACATGAATCAATAACAGCTTGTAATCTTATCTCCCCTAAATTTCATCCTACAGTGGTTATGTTGGCAGATAAGAGCAGAGAAGGACTTTTCCATGCAATTCACATTTGTTATTTTAATTAACATCTGAAAAAAAAACCATATGTGAAAGAATTCACACCTACATGAAAATCTATTTTTAAAAACCCACTCAAGAGTGTCAGTGAGTATGTGAGCCACCTGGGTTCCAGGTCTCTGGTGGGGCAAGTGGGAAGTATATGTACCTGGAGGGGATGGGCCACACCCACCTTTGTACTGATGGAGGTCGCTCAGGTTCTCCTGGTATGTGAGGATCACTGTCTGGTACTGGGTGACGATCTGGCGCCTGAGGCTCTCCCAGCAAGGGGAGAGCTCCCCCAACTCCTCCAGCTCACAGACTCTGCAATTGAGATACATATTAGGCCATGGGGCTAGCCACAGAATGTGCACAGAAGTAGCACTGGTGCCCAGAGAGGGCCAGGTCAGCGGTCACACTGCCAGTCTAAAGGGCAACCAGGGAGTGGGAGGACAGACAGCTACATGAAAGGCAGACCCGCTGGCCATAGCGGGAAACAGAGAAGCTTTCACAGGAACTCAGATTAACTGCTCAAGGGTTACTACATGAAGGTGGAAAAGACAGGTGTCAAGTGCAGCTCCACTATGGGACACCGCTCAGGCACAGGCAGGACCTGAATGCCATCCCCCACATCAGAGAGCACTGGAGGCATGTGAATAACTGCCAGAGACCATCTCCCCTCAGGGCTATCAGGACAGTCTCCTCATCTCCCAGATTCTGATGAGGCTTTCTGAGCTTCTCATCTGCAGCCTAGGGCTGGCTTCTAGCAGCAGGGCCCAGAGCTCAGCTAGTGCTGCAGCCATGGCCCCTCTGTCCCAAGGTCCTCCTCCCTGGATGTGGGACAAGGACCATGAGGAGCTGGCACCTCAGCATAATCTTCCTTTCACTGCTGTGGATATGAGGAACTGTCTGCATCTGAAAGTGGCGCATTGTGTCATTAGCTGGTTGAATCATACTGCTCTTGCCTTGGGCCTCGTCTTCTAGATGTGCTTGAGGGAGAGGATGGGTGAAGGGGAAAAAGGGAAGAAAGAGGGATTGTTATCTTCAGGAAATTCCAACTTGTGTAATAAGCACAAGCTCAAATATAAACTCCCTAGTTCAACAGTAATAACTACATGAGCATAAAAAGCAACACACAAGAAGAATTAAAGAAAATGGATGACTGTATTAGGAAATGGGACTGAGGAAGGATAAAAGCTAAATCCCTCATCACAGAAAGGTAGTAGCTAATCCATGAAGACAATTAATGACCAGAGGACTTGAAACACACAGTCAGAAACACAGTACTAAGCACCACCCACACGAAAAGCAACAGTTTCCATAAAGGACATCAGCAGCAGAGGGAGTGAATTTAATAAAAGTTTTTAGGAATCAACTAAGTTATTTAAAGTTACAAAAAAAGTTTTGCCATTTTATCATTAGCAAAATAAACATACAAGAACACCCAGTGCAGGCAGGACCATGGTGGAACAGCCCTGGTCTGAGGTCACACCTGGGCACAGGGGCTCTGCCAGCCACTATCCTGTGGTATTTTGCCCTGTGTGGCACATGGCTGCTCCCTATATTCCAGGTGCCAGTTGAACATTGTCACCTCCCTGAGGCCTGCCCTGACCACCCTTTTTCTTGCTCCCTTTTCATGTCTGACACTCACTGACACATCTGGCTCTCCTGCATACTGCTCCCTGTTCTCCATTTCCGACCACACCTGGTGCCCCACTGACCACACTGCCTGACACGCTGCTGCTGCTAACACCACCACAACTCTTGAACTAAAGCACCTGTCCAATGAATGACTGCTTTCCAGTTGTACCACACCAAACAGGAAAGCATGCCATGATTAAAAACTAAAACATGAAAACTGAAGATACATGGGAAAACAGATTGCACCTATGAAAATATAGGCAAAGATGGACAAAACTAAGAAAAATTTTAGAAATCAAAATTACTTCTAAAAACGTTTATGCAGAAAGTAAGCAAACTATTAACAGTTGGTGAAAATAGATAAAAGGTATCTGGGCATTCAATGCATTATTTTTGCCATTTTTCTCCAAGTTTGAATTTTTTTCAAGAAAAAAATTAAAATAGTTGTATTAGAACAATGGGATTCTGGTTGTCTTGTCGTCTTTCATGCTTCTGTTCTATGGTGTTGATAATTAACATCATTTTAGAATAAGGAGTGGAAATGACAGCCTAGGACAGACAGAAGACAAAGTTTGCAGGCCTTAGGACTGATGCCCTGGGATAAGTGGGGCTGAGGGGGCGGGACCCTTGCTCCAGGGAGCCAGAGTGCCTGGACAGGTCCTCCTCAGTCCTGTGGAGGCCCCACCTCTGTGGCCCTAAGCTAGGAAACCACAAGGCAGCTGTTTCAAACTTCCTGAAGGCCAGGGAGAGAAGGAAGAAAGGGGGAGGGCAGGAAGAAGTGCTGAGTTCTGGGCACACTCCGGGTCTTAGACACACCACCATGTGAAGTCCTGCCCTGCGAGCTGGGATACAGATGAGCAAGCAGAGGCAGAGACTCAGTCCAGTGCACCTTTGCCCACCACGTCTCGGGAAGGAAGGGACACCATGTAGGTTGAAAAGTGGCTGCCCCTCAGTGGGGCCTCACCTGGCCGCGTCTTCTTCCAGCAGGAGCTTCACAAACTGCCGGGGCACGTGTAGGGAAAGCACACTCTCCGCCATCTGCTCCAGGATCCGCAGATGGTTGCCATCGGTGGTAGGGAACCGATACATGCGGCAGATGGCGCCCCCGAACACTGAGGTACAAGGTGGGGGAAGTAGAGGTGGTGGATGAGACCTGCCTCCTGGGTCCTTCCACCCAGGCCCTCAGCGATGCTGATGCTCCCAAGTCCTCTCCTGTTCTTCCAAGGGAGTCACCAAGCCACTGAGCCTCAACGTTCCTCCCCTGTGACAAGCAACCTTTTTGTCCCAGAAAAGGTAACTAACTTTAAAGTGCAAGAGGCTAGAGGTGGGGAATGGCAGTCACTAAACCAATGTGAAACAAGAAAGGGTGAAAGGAGGAAGAGACCCCTTCCTCTAGGTATTTCAAACTCTATGCACTGCTGAAATAATGGCACATTGACGAGCAACAGGCAGGTGACAATTAGGGCCCAAGTAGACAAGAGCACCAACCAAGGAAGCTGTTTACCTGACTTCAGTAAAGTGTCTTTCCGCAGTGAGGCATATTTGGATCGGATTCCCAGGGCCTCAGTCAAGCTCTCATCAACAGGCAGAACCATCTAAAAACAGGACCAGGAAAGCATGAGACCCGGCCTCCTCCAGTGCGCTCAGCAGAAAGGGGGCCTCCCACGCCACAGAGGAGCTCTGGAGTGGGGCTGCCCATGCCAAGGTCGCTCCCCTCCCCGGGCACCTGGAAAACTCCACGCACACCCTATTTCCTCAGAGATGTGTCTCCTCACTCACTTCACCTTGGGTTTCAGTGGTGTGGTGTGCAAAACAAAAGGGAAGGACAGACGATGCCAAGACACATTCTGAGTAAGATGAGGCACCTTCAGACCTTACAACCAGGACTACACAGTGTTGGAACTCTTAAATTAGAGCTCTCGTTTGAGGGCTCAGGGCTTCTGAGTGAGGGGTGGGCAGGAGGGTGCTTGCTGGAGAGGAGTGGGTCCTGAGGAGATGGGGTGTACCAGGTGACTGTGGGGTCTGTGTGTGTCTGGGGAGAGTTATTACCAAAATCTAAGGGATGACCTGGTCTCAACAGCCTCTCCACTCACTCTCAGGCCGAGTCCTCGCTGTCTCCTCCTCCTTAGAGCCATGCCTGGAGGATTTGAGTGTCCTGCGGGGCAGCTGCAAGGAGCAGGCACAGAGGCCCAGACCCAACACCAACTGACTGGCCCTCCCAGTCCTTCTGAGGGAGAGAAGGAGGTGGCCTACTCACCCTGCCATTGACAGTGTCTACAGACCGGGTCACAGGGGGCTGCTGATCTGACTTCTCCTCCATCTGCCAGCCGATCACGGTGATGTTGCCCACACGATCACTCTCTGCAGACCTGCAATACGCAGCGTGCTCTGGTGAGGGTTGTCACAGTGTGTCTTTTCTGCTTAAAAGCAAAGTTCAGCCATCCTGAACTTTTCAGGGGTCCTGGGAGTGGCAAGACCCAGCCAGCTGGTTAGTCAGTCACCTGTCACTGCTATGTGCCCGCCCTGGGAGAGGCACACAAGGAAACCAGGGGGCACAAGAGAGGGCTGCATCTGATGGGACAGTGTGGATGCGCCTGCTGAAGTAGGAGGGGGCCTCCCTGACGAGAAGCCACCACTGGCCCCAGGGGTCTCTGCTCAGGGGTGATAGGGTGCATCTCAGATTCAGGGATAAAGAGTATCTTTTTCTGGCAATGGACCACTTTCTGCTCCTTCCCACCTCACCCTCAAGGCTTCAAGAGCACTAGGCCTAGGCTGAGACTCCAGGCAAACTGAGACCACACAGGACTGCCTGAAGCCCCTGCATCCTGAAGTGATGTAGCCCATGCCACCCCAGCCCTGGTTGTCTTTACCTGCAAGGTCCCTCAGGATGGATGATGGCTGTGCCCATCTGACTCATCCATCAGTACCCCAGGGACACCTTCGAGCCCCAAGTGTTACATTTATGATGTCTGAGTCAGTCTGGTTCTAAATTTTTATCATATCTAATGACCATTTCCTTTGTGACTTTCTCTCACTGCTCTCATGCCCAGAGAAGTCCTTGAGCTCCTTTTCCAAAGGAAGATGACCACTTCTCACAAGTAACTCTAATCCAACTAGATTTAGTTCTGGCACTTGATCTGCCTACATATTTTCCCTCAACAGCAATTTCCCTCACATGAGCTCTAATTTTAACCAATATTCTTCCTTTTCCTGCATTGCGTTCTCCCTACACACCCAGGACTGCTGCAGGGCTCTCATCCTGTGGGCAGATTGGACAGCCAATGCTCCCAACACTGTCATTACTTATGGTAGTGAATGTCTCAAAATTGCAGAGACTTTGTTGAATTTTCTTTACTATTTTAGATTATTCCCCTAGGCAATATATGTCCAATTTTTACATGATTTTGAATAAAGAACAACATGCCAGGGTTTTGGTGGGAACTACCCCTAAAATCACTTGGAGAAGGACTGACATCTTGACACCTTTCATCTTCCTGTCTAGGGATGCAGTGGGGGTTTCCCTTTCATTCATTCACTCATTCAACAGACACTTCCTGAGCAGAGCCCTGTTCTAGGTGGTTAGAATAGCAATGAACAAAGCAGAGAAAAATCCTCCCTGTATAGGAAATTACTGGGAAAGGGAAGATGACAGCTACATTTAGTATTATCAGGTCTGTGCCCTCTAGATCTGATACAGCTGTGCTCATATGTCCGACAGACAGCACACATTTCCATCCTGACCGGCTCTCTGATGGGCAGAGTGGTTCATCTTGCCTCACCTCAGCAGAAAATACCACTGGCTCAGACCTGCCTCTGGGGAAGCCAGGGTGTCCTCTCAGAAAAGGAAGTAGGGCCTTTCCCCACCTGTCCCTGGACCCAGAGCTTTTCAAAGGAATACGAGCAAATACCAACCTTAGTGTTAAGTGTAACCTGTGATGCCTGTCCTGGAGCAGATCTTTGACAACGAATGTTCCAGAGCCCAGTAAATACATCTGAGGAGGCGGGGGGGGAGGGGGAGGGGAGGAGAGAAAGAGAGAGAGAGAGAGAGAGAGAGAGAGAGAGAGAGAGGGGGGGGGGGGGGGGGGGAGAGAAGCATAAGTGCACTCATCTGCTTCTGGTCCAGTTGCCACACCCAGGGGAGTGGTACTGCTTCCCACAGCCATCTCACACTTATCTTAGAAGCCCACGAGGAATGCTCAGAAAGCAATTCCCAAAGACAAATGTGTTAGACACGAGTTGCTTTGTGAGCCAGTAGTGAAATCAATCCTGTGCTCGCCACTCACTCAAATGATTACATAACTGTAAAAATGGGGAGGAAATTCCATGAACCATGGCATGTTACTTAACTGTTCCCTGAGATCTATCTTTGACATCATATACAGATAATTTGATTTGTGTCATCTGATTGATAAGAGAGTCTTGAAAGAAGGCAATGCTGCTCAGAAATATAGGATTATTGGTTCCCTAGAAGAAAAAAGAAAATAATCAGAGTTGGATTTTTAAAAAATAATTGTTTTTGAAGTAATCTAACATTTTCAGAATGAGAAACTAACATTTTACTGACTCGGAGTACCTAATGTAATGGCAGCATGAGACCAAAAATCTGCTATCCCAAAGAGGAAAATGCAGTCTGTCGCAGACTGTTAAGATCCAGACCACAACAAACAGGCCTACGGTGCAAATTGCTACTGTGGGCTCGTTTCTAAGGTTCCCACTCAGGAGGAGGAATTTTGTAAAGTGAAACCGTGTTCCACATGCACACCTATTCTCAGTGTCACGGCTTCAGATGTGCTGCACATTTGGACTTACCACTTTGGGCTGTTTCTTTAAGATGTACAAGCAGGGAGGAAGAAATGACTTATTATTTCTAGACTCCTCTGCTTGGAATAATTAAAGCTTGACTTTTAAAAGCTATCTCCTTTTAAAAAATATTTATTTTTAGTTGTTTTCAGATCTTTATTTTATTTATTCATATGCGGTGCTGAGAATCAAACCCAGTACCTCACACATGCCAGGCAAGTGTACTATTGCTGAGACCCAGCCCAACCCCATAGCTATTTTTCTTTTAGGCCCAGCTGCTAGTTTCTAGATCACAGGTGGCTATTTCCTGGCAATATAGCCCTGCCCCTCAAGGCTCTACATTATCCTCTTTCTCAGGCAGTGTGAAATACCATAGCTAAACTGTATTGTTTCCTGTTTGCACCTGCTGTGATGCTGTGATGTCTGGGCCTCTGGCTGGGTTCTTCTGCAGCTCCAGCTCCAGTCTCTCTCGATGTCTGCTGGACAGACCCTCCTGGGGAATCTCCCTCTATCGCCCATGGTAAAGCTATCTCTGACTCTTTCCAAGCAGGCTAAACACCTGTGGGCCTGCTTTGGTGCCTCCTTCTCCATCATTGTCAACCACCCAGTAGCCATGAACTTCTACAAGTTCCACCTCCTGAGCCTCTCTCACATTCATCCTTCCTTCCACTTCCTCCCTCTGCCAAAGTCAGGTCCTGCATTACTCCCCCAAACACCTGTCCAAATCAGGACACCTGGTCATGTGACTTCCCTGCAGCCTGCAGTGGCTGGCTGTGTGCCACATCACCAACTCTCTGGCCATCCAGTCCTTCTGTCCTTGCCCTCCTTGCCTGAGCCCACACTAAGCAGGATAGCTATTCCCAAACCCGCATGATGCTTGTTATCACGCTGCCTTTGCAGAGCTACCACTGAACAAGCTCTTCCACATGAGGACCAGCCACGTGGGCATCACCTGGGCGTCTGTGAGGAATAGAGTCCTGGGCTCCACCCTGGACCTGCTGGGGCAGAATTTCATCCAGCCCCTCTAAGGAAGCTGCTCTGACCCTCAGAGCTGGATAGGTCCCCGTGTCCTGGCTTGCCTCACCGTGCTACTCTATACTGCCCCACGGTGCTGTGTATGGAGGTGGACCTGTTCCTTTCTGCTTCCCCCCTCACAGGCTGGGAATACCCAAGGACAGGGACTGTGCCCCTGTGTTATTACCTCTCACTGAGCTTGATGTGTGGGCAGTGCTAAAAACCACAACAGTTGACCTAACCTTGGAAACAAGTTTCTAAGAGACTAAAAGAATACTCTAGGCTTCCAAAATGTAAAACTGTTTTTATGTAAAATTATGTACTATTATGTCTTTATGTGAAAATGTAAAAATAATGTAAATGCAGTTTAATTTAGTTGGTTATTCTTCACATTCCAAATTAAACCCTATGGAATTTCACACTGCAACTTATGTGATGCATCAATTATCTTAAGGGATTTTGTAAAATTTTTTCAGTAAATGCATAAATTAATTTAAAGTAGAGTTAACATATATGGTAGAGCGCTTGCCTGGCACACGTGAGGCACTAGGTTTGAATCTCAGCACCATATAAAAAAGAAAGAAAGAAAGGTATTGTGTCCATTTACAACAAAAAAAGTACTTTTAAAAAATTCAGAAGGATGTAAAAATAGGCCAGGAGCAGAGGTGCAGGCCTATAATCCCAGCTCACGAGGCTGAGGCAGGAGGATCACAAGTTCAAGGCCTGCCTTAGCAAATTAGCAAGCAAGACCTGTCTCTACTACTAGGATCCAGCCTGGTAGTAGAGCACTAGCCTAGCATGTGAAAGGACCAGGTTTAATCCCCACTACTGTGAAAAACAAAAAATAAAAATAAAAACCAACAAAACTAAGGATATGTGCCAGTAAGAGGACTGATTAATAGACAGAAATCTTCCAAATTTTTATTAACAACCACAATTTTTTTCCTGTAATCCCAACTACTAGGGAGGCTGAGGCAGTAGGACTGAAAGCCAAAAGCCAACCTGGGGAACTTTGTGAGATCCTATCTCAAAATAAAAAAGGTCAGGGGTGAGGCTCAGTGGTACAGTGCTTGCTTAGCATGTATGAGGCCTGAGGTCAATCCCCAATACCATCACCTCCTTCCCCAAAAAAGAGCACAATTCCAAATTAAACCCTATGGAATTTAAAAGTAGCAGCCAGCTGGAAATGACAAGGAAGAATTAGGCCTCTTAAGAGGCAATGAACCTTAGAAGATCACTGCTCCAAATACTCATCAACAGTTAATCAATAACTGTCAAGGACATAGCAAATGAGTGGAATGAAAAATATCAAGGTACTGAAAACTCTGTAAAACCAACAACTCACATAAACACAACTGTAGCTAAGATGCTCAGAAAGGAGCAGTGTCCGGTGAGGCTGTGAATACCATGGCAGCAAATCCCAGGCCCCCAGAGCACCCACCTCAATGATCTCTGTCTGTGCATGCTTCGTCCAGAACGCCTGAGGAGGGGTGGTGACGCTCACTGCTACAAAACTATTTGGTTTTCGATCTAGCGATGGCGTATGCAACTCACTGCAAGCTACAGAATCAAGACGGGAAAAAACAAATTCTTCAAAACCAGGCACTGGTTAGCTGTATGCTCCAAGCCCAAAGAAAGCAGACGATGATACTCGGAAGGTTAAGATGATCACACTGTCACAGGAAAGTGATTTTACAAATTTCAGTCTTTCCCCCTTCCTTTGCCCTTCTCCCGCCCTGCAGAGGACAGCAGGCCCACAGCTGCAGAGGCAGGTGGTGTTAAAGATGGCTTCCTACGTCCACACAAAGGAAAATAGAGCTAGCTCTCTCTCTTGGGGTCCTCCATATGCCCCCAATAGCTGGCCCTCAATAGTGAACTGAATTCCAACTGAATGACTAAAAAGACACAAGTCTGAAATCTACAACAGGGCTCCACGTGCCTGCATCCTGTGACAGTGTGGCTAACTCTAAGCCCAGCACCCCCTGCATCTTGGTGTGAGCATCAATGTATACTGGGAATAAAATTAAAATTCTATGGCAAAATAAAAAAAAACTTTATTTTTAAGATGTCATTGTTCATCTATTCTCCTAATAAGACACATTATGTGCAAAATACTTAGTGTAACTTCTCAGAACTAAAGATATCTTGCAGAACCATTTTGGTTGATAAATATGATGTGCTACGTACTCTGAAATACACATCTGATAGTACACTCTGAATAGTACATATCTCAGATAATTCTCACAGAAGTGATCCACAGGAAAAACTTACATCTCATTGAATCTAACATGCTCTCTGACATTAAATGCACTATGAAAGGGGAAAAACAAAACCCACTGTCATTAAACTATGCTATGCCACTGAGAGGAAGTTATTTCCTTAAATTAAAGAGATGTTAAAATGTGAAAAAGGTATATCTTGGATTTGAGAAAATTCACAACAAATCAATGTTCAACAGCAGTAAAAATAATTAACTTTTTTGGTGGGATTCATTTAGAAAAACATAAATGTTCAGCTGCTCCCTTTAAAATTATGAATAGAGAAAAGTAAAATTAACTCAGTTTTTCAAAATGAAAACATTCTAGAGATAGGTGGTGGTGGCAGGCATATAATTTAATGTCATTGAACTGTACACTTTAAAATGTTTAAAATGGTAACATTTATACTATGTGTATTCTGTCACAATGAAAAAATAGAAAGTCTACCTTCAACTCTAATTTAAAAAAACATCCCCATGTCCACAACAGGAGGGACAAATGCAGAGGTAATGCAGAAGGAGGAGGCGGCTTGGGATGAAGACAGTAATACAGACAAAAGAAGCAATAATTAGAAAGAAAGAAAATGATGAAAAGAAAAGTCAGGAAAATACAAAGCAATGGAAGGAGGAGAGGCAAACTTGATGGAGGGGTTGGGGTGGGAGACGCCTTGCTGTGTTTGAGGCAGTTTGGGTGAGAAGGTTTGTTCAAGAGGCCACTTGGAGGAAATTACTGGCTATCATTGTCCTTTGAAAGGATCAGACAGCCCACACTGCTCTTTAGGGTTCTAATTACACTCTGCCTGCCATTAGCACGGCCACACCAGCTCTTCTGCTGGCACATGCATGTGTGTGCTCTATTTCACACAGCCACTCTTCACCGAGCTACATCCAGCTTGCCCAGGGCCCTTCTAGTGCTTGGCTTTCCAGTCCTTTCTACACCTGTGAGCTCAATACCTCGGCACTGTTTATACTGCAAGTCTGTGTTCACAACACCTTCTTTCAGCTTTTATGGTCTGAAAAGGTCTCTATTTGTACCCAAATCCTTAAGATTATTTTCTCTATGCAGTTACTTTCTCTAAAACCTTTAAACATTGTGCCTCTGAGTTTCTATTTTTTCTGTTATGAACTCAGCAGTCAGTCTAATTATTGCTACTCTGTGCTTTTGTACGTGTTTGTGTTCTAGCAACTTCACTGATTTTCCCATTGACTTTGACTTCCGACAGTTTAACTATGATGTATCTAAGGATATTTTATTTTTACTAGTTCTGTGACTTGCTCAATTTTATGAGCTGGGAAAAAATGCTCACCTATTAATACACTTTTTTTTATTTGGTAGTCTTATTTTTCCCCACAATTTTTATTGGTGCATTATAGTTGTACATATGGATGGAATTTGTTGTCACATACTTTATATGCATACAGATATATAATTTGTCCAATACATACACTTCTGACCCTTCTCTGTTTCTTCTTGAACACAAAATAAACAGATACTCTCACTTTTTTTATACTCTTTTGTTTTTATTGTTGTTGTTTCCATTATTTTCTGTCTCTGGCTTCTTTTGTAAGTTCTCTTCTTGACTTATAATCTAAGACCATCAACTTTCTTTTCAATTGTATCAATTCTGCTTCTCAGACCCACCCACAGGTTGTTAAACTTGCTGATCTGAATATTCACTTGGTTCTTTTATGGTTTTTCATTCTCTGATGAGGTGTTAATAATGTCATTATTCTCTTTATTCCCCTTTAACTTAATGTTATGAACTGAATGCCTGTATCCTCTCAAAATTCACATATTAAAATCCTAACCCCAAGGTGCTAGTGTCAGGAGGAGGAGCCTTTGGGAGGCCATTAGGCCGCAACAACAGAGTCCTTGTGAGTTGGAATTAGTGCCTTTAAAGAGGAGACATGCTCTCCTCGCTCTGTTCTTTGCTACATGAGGATACAACAAAATGGTCTGCTACAAAGCCAGCAGACAGTGGACCTGCTAGCTCCACAATCTTTGAATCCCCAGTCTCCAGAACTCTGAGAAATAAATTTCTTTTGCTAAAGCACTCAGTCTCTGCTCTTGTTCTAGCAGCCCAACCTCACTAAAACAGCCAGCAACTTTCACATCCCAAATCTCTGTGGGTCTATTTCTATTGTTTGTTATTTCTATTGTTTGTTATTGTTTTTGTTTTTCAAAATTCATGAACTTATGCTGAATATAACTTTTTAAAAATTGTTTATAGGAATGACTTGAGGCCCAAGATGATGCTTTCTTCAGAAAAGACCTGTGATAGCCTCTACCAGGTTCTAAGAAGCACTGACATTCTTAACTTTTGGGAACTAAGTGGACCTGTAGCAAGCGCCTGCTTCTGGTTCCCTTTAATCTAGAAGTATGGTCTTTTCTATTCTAAACCAAAGTGAAAGGAATTTCACCAAGTATTTTTCCTCTTATGGGCCTTAGAAAAATAATCCCCATCACTTTGGTACTGAAGTATCTGAAGCCCTGCTCAGCTTTCTCTTGGGAGTCACTGTGAGCCCTCAAAAGAGTAAGAGAGGGCTGAGGATATATCTCAGTTGGTAGAGTGCTTGCCTCCCATGCACAAGGCCTTGCGTTCAATTCCCAGCACCACACACACACACAAAAACCAACAACAATACTGTGTCTCCACCTTCAGCTCCATTACAGAGTTATCAGTTTCCTGGAAACATGAATAAGATACTTCTTAGATTTTTGCTCCTTTTTTCTAGATTTTTCTCTTTTTTTTTTTCAAGTTGTCCTTAATGGTAGGATTTGGTTTTTCATTGTCATTTAGAAGCATAAGTTTTTTTCTTTATCCTTGGAATTTACAAGTTTCAAAAGGAGACACCTAGCAGTTGGTGAACATTCTGGGTCTTACATCCACCCTTCTTCCAGGAAAAGATTCTTCTGTTACTTCTGGCCTGCTGTTCCTCTTTCTGTCTCTTTTTCTTCTTCTGGGTCTCCTAAGCATTTAAATAATAAAATGCCAGATATTGTCACATCTCTTCACTCAAAATTTGCCTGATTCTTGATATTTATTCTTTGAGCTGTGAGATTGTTCCTTTGTTTGCTTTTATGTGTTTGTACTCATTTTCAGTAGTGTACTTTTGATTTTTTTAAAAAAGATATTTTGTGTAAGATCTACTTCACACACTATAAAATCCACCACCCTCAAGTATACGATTCAGTGGTTGGTAGGGTACTATAGAGTTCTGAAACCATTACCATTATCTAGTTCCTTAACATTATCATCACTTCAAAAGAAAAACAAAACTGCCCATATGGGCTGGGGTTGTGGCTGAGAG